AAGTTAAGGAAGGTTCTTCTGCCACTACTTAGTAACTCAGGGACCAAAGGCCAGGCTTGGGAGAGAGCGATAAGGCTCACCAGTGCATCCTGCTGCTTCCCAAGAGTCTGATGGCCAAAGAGCAACAGAAACAAAAGGCTCAACATGAAGGAACTGAGTGAATCATGATACTCCACTCCACAAATTCTATTTGTCAGGCCACCATTAAATAGTAAGTATAAATCTTATTCAGCAACATAAACATTATGGTTGTACTATTAAAAAAGAACATGATACAAAAATACGTGATGGTATTATGTAGAAATCATTCAGATGCAGAGAAAAGGTCTAGAATGAAGAAGCCCTTAGTGAAAATGGTGGGTTTGCTAAGGAGGCACGAGTGACCCAAGGACAGGGGTGGTTTCTGTTCTCTTCATGCCAGGATCTGAACCTAATGATACCTGCCATGCAGTAGACACTCAGATGTCTGGTGAAGGGCGGGGAAACCTGGATTGTTTTCCTCTAATTTGTTGGTATAATATTGTTTGTATGATATCTAAATAACAAATTTCAAGTAGAAATTAAGTTCCCCCTATCATCCAGAGAGCCCAGAGCGTGGGATGGATCCTCCCTCTGTCACTTATTAGTTGTGTGACTTAAGTTCCTTCACCTGCTTGGGCCTCATGTCAAGTCTGTGAAATAGACATCGTAACAATTATCCCCTGGGTTTCAAGAATTAAATGGTATCATAAATATGAAAAAATGCTTGAAAGTGTAGTACCTAGCACCAGAAAGAGCTCGGTTAGTAGTGGCTGTCATTAATATAAAGGAAGCTCTTGGTCACCAAATGCAAATTATCTTTCTAATTCTGTATTTAAACAACTTAAGCTGTTTGTGTGGTTGGCTGGACCGTTGGCTTGCTTGGCTAAGATCAAGAGACCCCAAAGGTGTTCCTTTGATCAGCCTTAGTCTTACAGCCATGACTTCCCATCAGTGCCAGAATTTTAGGACAATTCCACCAAACTTTGAAAGATGAAGGATGCACTGCCCACCTGTATGAGCTTCCTAGCACTGCAAAGTATGTGGCTTAGAATAACAGAAATCTATTCTCTCACAGTTCTCAAAGCTACAAGTTCGAAATCAAGGTGTCAGCAGGGCCATGCTCCCCAAAGGCTTGAGAACAGAATCCTTCCTTGCTTCTTCCAGCTTCTGGTGGTTTCCAGCAATCCTTGGCTTGCCGGTTCATCATTCCGACCTCTGTCTTGATTGTTACATGGCAGCCTTCCTCTGCCACTCACTCTCTTCTTAAGACACCAGCCATACTGGATTAGGAGCCCACTTTATTCCAGTATGACTTCATCTCAACTAATTACATGAGCAACAACCTTATTTCCAAATAAGATCACATTCTTAAGTATCCGGGGTTAGGACCTGGATATATTTTTGGGGATGTGATTCAACCCAAAACAGCAACCAAACCCACCCTTCTTAGTAGGGTGGACTGCCACCCTTGGGAAAGATCCTTTTATAGAGCAAGAACCAGAGTTAGAGTGGCCAGAGATCCCAAGAGAGAGAAATTTAAAGAAAGAAAGGCAAAGGGAAACTGGGACAGTATATTCAGTGAATGACAAATGTAGTCATGGATTCTTGTTTCTTCTCTAGACATGAAGGGCTTGAAAACTCTGCACTGGCTTTCCGACTGTTTTGTTAATTAAAATGCTAATTCCTTCTGAGCTGGGAAGTCTGCCTAAGCAAGTAGACTAAAAAAGAAATGAAAGCCATTGACATTGGACGTGCCCTTGGTTCATGTCTTCCTTAAAGAGCTGTTGCAGACTCTAAAGCCAGATCTGGAAGGTTTAATGCAAATCTTGTTATTAAAACGTTTCTAAACATTAATCCTGAGATTGCCCAGACTCAGAATGATACATAATGTAATGTATTGGCTATATGCTGGCATCCAGCACTACCTCCCACAGGCAACCCAACACCTCTCCCAATGAAAGAATTTTGGATCCATACTTTTATCGTACAGAGAGCCTTTGAAGCCAACAGTGCCTTTCTAATATGTGACATTTGGTGGAAGTAAATTACTCAAGATGGAAAGCAGCTGTGATGTTAGTGGAACAATGCTTACACCTGTAGGCATGAATCTAGATTTGTTCTGTCACTTGATAGCTGTGTGATCTTAGACAAGTCATTCAAACTCGCTGAGCCATAGCTTTTTCATCTGAAGATGTTCCCATTGGTATCTACTTCAGAGTATTGTTGATTAAATAATAAGCAGTCAGTCACCTAGTTAAATGCCTGGCACATAGTAGGTGTTCAAAAATGTTTGCTACCGACTGTTACTCATTTCAGAGCTAACACATTCTCCAGGGGGCCAGGTGACCTGGCAAAGGAATCAAGGCATGAAACCAAGCCTCTGGGTTTCAAATTCCATGCCCTCTCTCTGCCACATCTGCCGGGAGAACTCTGACATCCATGTGAACGTTGTTCTTACAGCCCAATTTCTCTTCCTTTACTGCAAGAGTTCTCAAATTGCTGGAAGTATTCAGGAAAAAAGAGCCACCGTCTGTGTATTTATTATTCTTATCTGGTTTGAGGGTGATTATTATTTCTGGTCTTGCAGAAGTACAGATTTCAGTATCTTCCAATGCTCTGGAATAGTTTTAATTTTATTATGGCAAAATACAGGTAAAATTTACCATTAGTGTCATTTAGCACATTCACAATGTAATGCAACCATCACCTCTGTCTGGTTCCAGAACGTTTCCTGGAATTTCTATTCCACAGGAATTCTCTCCTCTTTGGAGGTTAATGACTTTAAATCACACATGTTGCTGTGTCAGTCGACTCTCATTTCTATTGGTCTTCTGTCTGTATTTCTGGAGAGATGCACTAGTCTCCAATCATGGTTATGCAACTATTCCATTATTACCCTATTCTTTTCCTGTTCTGGCTTTCTAGATTTCACAGCAGTGCTGGCATAACTACAAAGTTTTGTGACCATTGTCATCTCTTTGGGTTTAACTTTGAACTTTAAAGTATCTCTTCACCCATTTAATTTTCTAAAAAAATTTTTATCTTTCAAAAGGGATTTTTTTAAATTTTATGTTAATTACCATACATTACATCATTAGTTTTTGATGTAGTGTTCCATGATTCATTGTTTGCGTATAGCACAATTTTGAAGCCCATTCTGTTAGCTTTCCTAACCCAGTCTCAGAGCTTCCAGCTGCTATTAGGTGAATTTAATCCATTTATGTTTATTGTGATGAGGGATACATTTGGATTTTTTTTTTTTTAAGATTTTATTTATTTATTTGAGACAGAGAGAATGAGAGACAGAGAGCATGAGAGGGAGGAAGGTCAGAGGGAGAAGCAGACTCCCCGCCGAGCAGGGAGCCCAATGCGGGACTCGATCCCGGGACTCCAGGATCATGACCTGAGCCGAAGGCAGTCGCTTAACCAACTGAGCCACCCAGGCGTCCTGGATGTGTTTCTGTCAACTACTTTATTTACCAAGTTTCTTCTCTCTCCCCTCCCCAGCCTGTTCTTCCCTTGTACCACATACACTGGGTTTTTTTGGTGTCACTCTCCCTTTACTTTTTAGATGTTGGACATCCAGAGATTACTGGTTTTTTTTTTTTTTAACATATATTTAAATGTTTCTTTTCTGCTAACATGTTAATCAATCCCATCCCATTAAATCAAGAATTTTAGCTCAATTTCACTCATCAGTTCCTCCATCACCAGCCACTCCCACTCCCAGCTCCCATGTTGGAAGCACCTAAGACAGAAAAGAGTCCATTGATGGGCACAAGCACTACCATTTGCTGGGCATATTCAAGTTTTCAAGGACACACAGTGAATTTGTCTTACAAAGTTCCTACTTCCATGGGGATAGACAAATAAAACACTAAACAAAATGTATTCTAATGTATTCTACCTCATTAAGGAGGGGACCTATGAGGGATCTGAGTGATGTGAAGGGAAGAAGCGTTCTGGGCAGAGGAAGCAACAGACCTGAGGTGGGTACTTGCCTGGGAGTGGCCAAGTGGGCCAGGAGAGCCAGATGGCTGATGTGCTGTGAGCAAGGGGAACAGTCAAGTGTTAGCACAGACCACCAACATTCCTGTTTGCTGCCTTCTCAGAGACACCATCCCCACGCCTCAGCTGCACCTTCCGGCTACTTTACTCTTGAGCTTGTCTGGTTATTTCATCTGCCTACTGAGGTTTTAGTTTTGATTTCCAAGATCTATAATCCATCTTTTTTGTTCTGGATACCATATAATTTCACTGTGTTCTGATCTTAATCACACTTGTTTTATAGGATTCTGTTTGCTTTATTGACTCTTTATTGAGGTTATCACCCTTCACTGTATAACATTTACTTTTTCAGGAGTCTTAGTTTTTTTGTTGATTTCCAGACTAGAGTTCCTGTTTGCTTATTTCGTTTACTGTAAACTGCCCCCACATGACTGTGGGGGACAGGACAATGCCCTGGAGAGGGGTGTGCCAAAAGCTTGTCTTCACAAAAGTCTGGACCCCCATGCCCTCCTCCTCGAGGCTCCACACTCTGCCTTAGCAACGGCCACCTGCTCAGCGCACACTGGTGGCATCTGTAAGTGTTGCAGAAGAGCTGGAAGGAATCGAATAGCCCAGCTGCCCTAAACTATAATCACCCTGACAAATGCCCCAGGCCCCCTTCCAGCTTCCTTAGCCACTCTGAAGCACACAGCACCCCTGACCCCATCTTCCCATGCAGGTTTCTCTGCATGGTCTGAGCTGTGCTTTCCTTCATTTCTGCTCTTCTGTACACCTAATTTTGTCTGCTTTTCTCTTTCAGGGATTCCTCCACATGTGGATGTATGTTTATTTTTATGGATTTATCATTTCCTTTCCAAAACTGTCTTTTCTGAGATTTTAACAGGGAGCCCCTGGAGATCACTGGCCACACTATTTCCTCTCAAAATAATGCAATACTTACCAAAGAAACCGTAAGTGCACTCTATGTTTTATTTATAAGGCTGGAACAAACAAGAATATTTTGGGGGTTTTTTTCAAGTTTAAATTAAAAAAATGGGAAGAGTAGCACAGAAGCTGCTATTCACAAAAGACAAATATAACTAAAGAAGGTAAGTTTTTATTCCAAGATAGGAATAATGGCATATACAAAGTGATCGTTTTATAAACATTGAACTAATCTTTTATACTCGTGGGCTTTTTTTTTTTCCTTAGGGGAAAAAAAAAGATTAACTCTTTGGCATCATCTTTTAAAATAATTTCTTCTTGGACGGTTATCCATTAGAGTGCTTATAAATGTCTGAGATGGGTGTGTCGGAATGCCTTCTGATGGTTCATTTCTAAATATCTTTAAATTCTTTCTTCAGTTAGGGACACTCCAAAAGCACTGTGGTGCAGGGCAAGACAGACTCTGGTCCAGGATGCAGGAGTCTACTCGTCCATCCTTCTGCTCCTCTCCTGCACTGTGATCTTATAGAGGTATATGCTCTCTGCATCTGAACCCTGTCGTCTTCCAAGTGGAGAATAACTGCACCCACGCGGGCTGTTGGAAGGACTAAGCAGGATCCTAACTGTAAAAGCACATGGTCCAACGTGTGGCCTGTGGTTGGAGACTCTAACGCGCTGGCTTGATACACATTCTGGCAGACAAATGGACCGGTGAGCATCATGGAACATTCCTGCTGTCTTCTCTGCTCTGCCCCCTTCCACTCTGATTGGGGCCAAGAACTCATAAGAGAAAACAAGCTATTTAAGGAACGAAATACTGAGCTTCAGTAAATTACAGTCAAAAGTTTAGCTCTTACCAACTATTTTCTATGTCACTTTGGTTGTGTTTGTTGTTTCAAAGCAAGCGATTTGGTCCTCTTCCCTTTGTAAGGCAAAGTCTGTCTCTTCAGGTCAACCTCAGCAACCCTAATTTCCTTTCTGAAACCCTTTTTGTTTTAAAGAAAGTTTCTTTTCACTTTTGCCCTTTCTAAGAGGTAGGGTATTGACCCTATACTATTTTATTTTAATAGAATCATAGGTGCTCTGACGTAAAACCATTTGCTTTACTTTATTAGAGTTGATGCCTTTGGGCTAGAATCTAGAAGAGCAAACTTGTAGGCAATTACATAATTCTTAGGAAATGACCTTAGTTTCTTCCCATCTCCAACCTTTGTACTTAAAATGTTCTTCTGGAATATTGCTTTGTAGTAGGTGATAAGGAAACCCACATAGCCAAAATCCTATCCTTCACCCAAAATACTGGCACCTCTGTGAGAAAATCCAAGAGCGATCCTTTAGCACTAAGAGAAAAGTCAGGTTTGTCCATGGAAGCACATGGATGACATGACAGCAGGCAACAGTTTGTTCTTCATGAAACAAGCTTCAACAGAGCCCAGGGCCACGTGGTCTGGCCCGGTAACCGGCAGGCATGGGTTTGCGCTCCTGCTCACCACCAACTCCTCCTCGTTGCTCTCGCTAAGACTCCGTGCACGTCCCGGCCCAGGGTTCCCAGCACACAGCACGAGGGGGCAGCACACGGCAGTGCCGGGGCCGTTCCAGTTCGAGCACCCAGGGATCTCAGATCTCCTGTAGCCTCAAGCACATGAGGTTCTGAAGGCTCCACTCTTGCAGAGAACCTGCTGCTGTCGCCCTCAGATGTGCCGCCCCGTCAGAAAGAAGAGCGGCCGGTCTTCCTTGGCGTTGGCGGTCTGGAATTCGTCCCTCAGCCGGAACTGCCACTCGTCTTCCAGCTCGAGGCGGACCACCGTCTGCCGCAGGGAGTTCCGGTCCTGGCAGATGACGCACAGGGTGGCACCTACAAGCATGAGCAATGGCAGAGGCGTTGAAGAAAACAGGTGAGTTTATCCAAATGCAAGCGACTGCCTGCACTCTACTTGCAATAAGGAAACACGATGTTGCTTGGGAGGAAAGGACCAGACCACCAGGTGGCCTCCTGTGACTTTTGGAACGCTTCATAATCTTAACAGGACACACAGTGCGATTGTTAGTTGGGGAGGCCAGAAGAAAGGTCCAGAAAGAAGTAGGGGGAAGGAAGGGGAGAGAACCAGAAGCAGACACATGGGTCTGATCGCAAACCAAGTGGTCCCAGCTCCAGCCCTGTGTGAACTGCACTGTGCTACCCGCCTCCCAGCAGGACCCCAACTTCTCATCCCACGCAAGCTGCCTGCATCCAGGCCCGACGCAGCAACCCCCGCTCCCTGCCCAGCCTTGGGAATTCTCCCTCCGCTCCACTTCTCGAATCATCGATCCATCACTCTGGCTTGTTCATCAGTTCATTCTGTTGGTCTGTCTCCCTCCTACCCACACATCCTGTCCTCCTGTTACACAAAATGTTTCCCGAAGGCAAAGACTGTGTTAGAAACCTCTTATTACTTCCCAAGCCTTATAGAGCATTGGTGCTCAGGAAACACCTGCTCGAGAAAGTCAGAGTGAAGACGCCCAGGGTTAAGTGCAAATCGGTGAGGGATCCCAGCTGCCTGGAAACCATTTTTTTATGTCCTATAGAATCAATGTCTGTCACTCTCAACACCTCTAGCATGACAACAGCTACAGAAGGAGGGAGGTCAGAGTAAAAGGCAAAGAGTAGGCAACACCGCCGAGACGAGGAGGAAGAACTCGGGTACCAGGAGGAAGGAACTGAGGGAACTGGGTGCTGATGCTAAGAATCTGGGCTGAAGAGGAACACAGAAGGTGAAACTATCTCTTTGCCTAAAAGAAAGGGGATGTGTCTTGTCTCTACCCAGGCAGGTACAAGGGAATGAGAGTCACCCTGGGACTGCATCCCAGCCTTCTTGTACTTTCCTGGATAATTGGGGCAGTCATATTTCCTCTCTGAGCCTCTGTTTACCCACAGGCAAATAAGGATGAGGACCAGAAGTCATCTCCTCAGATGCACTGGGTAATGAAAGGCATTCAAATCAAGGTCCAGAGTAAAAGGTATGAGCAGTTACCTTTCAGAAAATGAAACTTTTTCAAAAAGCTAGCTCCCACAAAAGAATCACAGAGGTACAGCAGGAGTCCACTAAATATGAAGTCAGAGCAGCTGATGTTTCGAGAGTGGGGCCTGGAGCTCACATAGCACACAGAAATCTGAAAAAGAAGAAATCCAAGAGAAACCATTGTTTTCCCTGAAATTCTCAACCACATGACGCTAGGGCTTTGCATCCAACAAAGACTAACTGCTTGGTCAAGCTCAAGGCTGCTGGCGGCGGGGGGAGGGGGGCAGGTGCAGAGACGATATTTAGTGTTATTTTCAAATCTAAATCCTAAAAATCAATTCCAGGAAATTTCTCCCGATTATCTACTCACTAATTCATCCGAGCATCAGAAGTGTTTTGGCATCAGAGTCGGCTTTCATTCCTAATTTATAATATCGGGGGCAAAGCATTTAAACTCTCTCAGCTATAAAGCGAGGTAAACACCAGAGGCAAAGGAGCTCAGTAGCAGTTACAAGTCCGAGTCCTGGACGGTGGCGCATCTGTTTTAGGAACATGGTGGACTCGTGGGCTCAGCCGGGGGCGGGGGGGGGGGGGTGGTTCTGAAAGTCACCTGAGATCCCAGGTTAAGGTAGCAGTCGACCGAGAGCACAGGGTGGCTGTGGTTCTTCAGGGAGAGCGGGAAGAAGCGGTGGCTGTGGTGCTGCAGAAACTTCTCCAGCAGCAGCTGTGCGGGGGCCGCGAGGAACGTGTGCTTGCTGTCCGGGGCGCAGATGTACTGGGCCGGCACGATGGGCACGGGGTTGTCAGACACCTGCGCGGGGAGGCGTGGGGTCAGCCGCTCCCAGCCACTCCCCCCAGCCAGGATTCTGGGGGCGGGGGGGTGGCCCTGGCCCGGAAGACTCAGTCGCAGGGTAGGGCTGGCAGGGGAGAACCCAACCTTCAACCATAAAATTATCTGTTAAGAAAAATTGGGCTTTTCCCCAAGTGGGAAACTAATGAATGTGATCAGGAAGAACTGCCACAGTGATCACTCCATGCAGAAAACCGGCCGTCTGGTCTAGAAAAATCGAGAGAACCCATGGAGCTTGGGAACTCTCCCCCAAATCCAAGGATGCAAACTTCTGGGCAGGTTCGGCCTCCTCCTGGCCCCCAGATCGTATCTGCCTCCCACCTACCCCCACTGCACTTCCTGCTGACCCCTGCCAATCCTCTCCCACCACCTCCTACTCCAGAGCCAACACGCTTTCCAGGCTGCAGCCAGACGGACTGTCAACATAAATCAAACTCATCAAATCCTCCACTGGACACCCATCAGTGGTTTCTCATTACTCCTACAGAAAGTCCAGAACGTTCTCATGGCTGTTAAGGCCCTGCCTACTCTCTTCAGCCCATCTCTGCCACTCTCCCTGCCCGTTATGTTTCTTCCACACTCACCTCCTTGCCCCAGCCACTCAGCTCCTTCGCCCAGATTCTTCCCTGAACCTGGATATGAAGCCGCTTCTCACCAGCCCCCCACCCCCAGGTCTCTGCTTTAATGTCACTTTCTCAGGGACACTCACACAGACTCCCACCCCCACCCTTCGCACAGGGAGGTCTCCCTGTGACAAACATCACCCCAGCAGTGCTTACCACAAGGACACCTCGCTACCTACTTAACATCTGCCTCAGCTGCAAGGCTCTACACTCCTGATTGAAGGGACGGTGTGTTCAGTAAATACTTAATGAGTAAATGAAAATAAGTTATTTCATTCAGATGAATGATTACCAAATGTTCCCAGCTCTCCTATATATATCAACATGCAACTAAACCCAATGGAAAAGAAGATGATGCTCAAAATAGGAATGAAGATAAAATATATAAGCTAAAAAATGATACTGAGGAATATAAAGAAAAATTGGTTTTAAAAGCATAACAGGCTCCAGGTGCCCGGGTGGCTCAGTCAGTTAAGCATCTGCCTTCAGCTCAGGTCATGATCTCAGGGTCCTTGGATCAAGCCCCTCATTAGGCTCCTTGCTCAGCGGGGAGTCTGATTTTCCCTCTGCCCCTCCCCACTGTTCGTGATCTCTCTTTCTGTCGATCTCTCAAATAAAATCTTCAAAAAAAAGCACATCAGGCTCTTTGATAGACTTAATGTGACAAAGATCAGAATTTTAAAAATTAAACTTATAAATCTAACACAATTTCAGTAAGAAATCTTAGTGGTGGGGGTGGGTAGGACTTCATGATTCTCAAGTTCTTCTGGAGGTACGGACCTTTTATTTAAATGTCTTGCTACTTTTTAAGAGAAATGAGCATGGACTTTCCCTTTCAAAGAAGGCTTCACTCCCTGCTGATCGGAAGGGGCAGATGGGTAGGGGTTGGGGACTGGTATCCGAATTCAGACCTGGCCCAGCTCAGGATAAGTAAGCCACCACATAAGGATTTAGTGGAGACAAGGAAGGACAGAGGCTGGGAGGGGGCAGGTGGCACTGGGACTGGCTGATGTCCAGCATCAGGGCAACATTCAAGTTAGATGGAAGGAAAAAGCAGGGAATGGGGCTCTGGCCCAGGGATCGGAGAGACATGCCAGCCCCATATGGCTTCCTGGAAGACACAGACCTCTGAGGGTTTGCTGCGACTTTGCACCTCAAATTCTGCAGCTAGCACGGCCATAATCAGACCACGTTTCTCCCCACCAGGAGGCTGGCTCATGCACAGACAGCACAGCTACTGAGCCAGCCTGTTGGTGCGCTCGGTTATTTGGCCAGGCCCTGTCCGGGGGCCCGGAGATGAGCATGGCGCCCCGCGCCCCCAGGAGCTCTGTCCAACAGGGAAGCCAGACCAGGGAGCACAGAGCACAGCGACAGGACAGCTAGGTCGGCGGTGGGAGTGCGGGCGGGATGTGTACCAGGTGCTGATGAGAACCTGAGTTCAAGAGAAACCCGACAGCATGTTTCCCTTCCCGAGGCTCCCAATTAAAACCCTTTACTCACACCAGCCAGCGATCAAGCCCACGCCCCGGACCGGCCTCCCCCCAGCTCCCAGCCTGTTTGCACACCACGGCAGCCCTGGCAGCAGACTCGGTGGGCGCACTCACCTTGGACGTGATGTGGAAGGACCTCTGCCCACCCACTGCAATCTGCTTCTTCATCACACTAAAGCGGTTGAATCGGCAGAGCAGGAGGCCAGCGCTGTGCACGCGCAGGTTGAAGTCCACATCGTCACACATGAACCTGCTCAGAAGCAAAGGAGGGAGCGGATAGGACTGGATGCAGCCGCCCACCCCCCCCCCACACCCCACCAGCCACGTGGAGGGTGTGCCCCTGTGGAGGGGGGGCGTCCAGTGGTGGGGTAGGCTCCTTCCTCCCGTACAGAGGCATGTGAATAAGGCAAAACCAACAAAGAGAGCAGGCCCAGCTGCAGCTTGTCTGCACCAGGGCAGGCAGCATATACCGAAGGCTAACAGGACAGAAGCACGCCCATGGGCTGACCCGATGCTCCAGGCCCTGCGCGAGGGACTCCACAGACACTGGTTTTCATCTACCGCTTAAAGAGAAAACAACAAACTGCCCGGAATAAAAACAGGAGCCACTTTTTACAGCCAAGGAAAACAAAGCTCAGAGATGGAAGGCCTGTGCCTAAAATGCAAAGCTGGTAAGTGGCAGCACCCAGATTCCCAGCAGGGCGGCCTGGCTTCCAGATCGACGCTCCTACAAGGGCCACCTTGGCTGTGTGCCCACCGCCTGGCCTACGGAGACGCCTGATAAGTGTTAGCAAGTGGGTTATTCTTCAGATGTGAGCGCTTCTGTGACTAGACCTGGAGAGGGTATCACACGGAAGTTACTTTCCAGTTTTAAAGCAATGTGTTCCAAGAAGGAGACAAAAAAGCCAGAGAAACAATGTAGCACATATGTGGTCACTAAAGTATCACGTGGACTGAGGGAGGAAATTGCATGATCTTATGCAAATCTCCCCTCCACAAAATTCTCCGATGCAAAGGTTTTTTTCAGCCTGAGGGCTGAAAGCAGGGCCAGACCAACGCTATGGGCTGGAGGGCCTGGGCCCGCGGGCTGTGCCGACGGCCGCAGCCGGGCAGGACTCACCGATTCTGGTTGTACTGCACATTCTGGGTCAGGTCCACGTTCAGGATGATGAAGTCGTGCACGTGGCAGCGGGAGAAGGGCTCACGCACCTCACCGCTCCCCGTCTTGCTGGACCACTTCCGCATGCCAATCAGGGCGTAGTGGGTGATGTTGGGGGACGCCTCGATATGCTGCACGATGTGTTTCAAAGACACGTTTCTTTCTGACCAGGAAAATTCCCTGCTCGAAAGAGGAAGATTGACGTCCCTGGGTTGAGGCGCCAAGAGCAGCAGGGCCCTCTGGCTCCGGCCCGGGGGCTGCCTTCCAACGGGAGCTCATGTGCCGGTAGGTAGGGCTGGTTGGCTGGAGTCCGTCACGACCACCCCCGAGTGCCAGGCGCCATCCCGGGCACGTCACATCTACCATCATTTATCCTCATGGCAATCTCATGCCATGGACATATCACCCCCCTTTTACCAATGAGGAGAAAGAGGCTCTGAGTCACTTGCCCCGTGTGACTCAGCAGGACTTGGATTCAAACAATGCTGTCTCCGAAGCCCTTCTTCCCATCCCGTGCTAAAACGCTTTGCATTTCCGGTTTGCAGACCTGAAGGCCAAGCGGTGGGGAGAGCGCCAAGCTTTCCAGCACGCGTTCCAGGGAGGGGATGGGAAGGAAGAAGGTAGTGCACCAACGCCCACCCCAGCTGGACTGCCAGTGTCTGTGGCCCGTGAAGACAACAGGGACACCTGATGGCCAGGGAGGGGGCTGACGGCAGGGGCTCCAGGGCGAGGCGTTGGGCCCAGGCGCGCGGCTCAACTCTTCGGGACCCCAGCTTGCTTTTCCCCCACCAAGGGGCTTCAATAAACTCCCCCGGGCCCGGGCCAGCCCCAACCCCAGGACGCTAACTGCTGCTTCAGAATGGAATTCAGGAAGGCAGAATGAAAGCCAGTTCTCTCCCCGTCTCAGCCCTTGGCCAAGCTCTTGCCTGTGGAAGAATGTCTGGGACAATATTGGCAGCAAAGCGGAATTGCTCCTCCCATAAGCCACACGTAGCTCTATCATTCAGAAAACACCTTTTTCTAGAAAAACAGCCATCAGTGGTCATTGTTTCATTAGGATATCAGTAACATAAAAGAAGTAAACGAACCTAATGTCTTTTTTTTTTTTTAAACATTTTATTTTTAAGATTTTATTTATTTGACAGAGAGAGAGATAGCGAGAGCGGGAACACAAGCAGGGGGAGTGGGAGAGGGAGAAGCAGGCTTCCCGCTGAGCAGGAAGCCCGATGTGGGGCTCGATCCTAGGACCCTGGGATCATGACCTGAGCCGAAGGCAGATGATTAACAACTGAGCCACCCAGGCACCCCGAACCTAATGTCTCTTAAAACAACAACAACAACAAAGGGCACCTGGGTGACTCAGTCGGTTAAATGTCTGCCTTCGGCTCAGGTCATGATCCAGGGTCCTGGGATCAAGCCCCTCATCGGGCTCCCTGCTCAGGGGGGAATTTGCTTCTCCTTCTCCCTCTGCTCCTTCCCCTGTTCCTTTTTCTCTTTCTCTCTCAAATAAATAAATAAAATCTTTAAAAACATTTAAAAAAAAAAGCCAAAAATAATCAGGCAACACTGAACTGAAATATTCATGTGGCAAAATCACAAAAGGAACTATTTTACCAGTGATGTTGGGAGTCTATGTACCGAGCCTTTTCCACCCGTGCTGCCCTCCTGCCCACCTCCAGGCACGCCATTCAGAGTCTAAGTTACCCTCACGACAAACCTCCAGCACAGGTCTTACTGCCCTTCAAAAGATGAGGAAACTAAAACCCAGAAAGAGTTCAGTTGTGACCCTAATGTCACACAGCAAATGAAAATACACCTGGGCCTTAGGAGTTAGGCTAGGGGCAGGGGGCAGGGTCTGGAAGGCTACAGGAGGGAATTTCTAGGGCACTCGTGATGTTCCATTTCTTCACACAGGAATTGGTTAAATGGGTGTTCAGTGTGTGAAAATTTCTGGATATGTATCACACTTTCATTTTTTGTGGATACTTTATTTTTTTTAAGATTGATTGATTTATTTGAGAGAGAGAGTGCTCGTGTGCCTGAAGAGAAGGAGGGGAGGGGAGGAGCAGAGGGAGAGGGAGAGAAGCAGACTCCCCACTGAACGGGGAGCCCGTCATGAGGCTCGATCTCACGACCCTGAGATTGTGACCTGAGCCGAAATCAAGAGTCAGATGCTTAATGGACTGAGCCACCCAGACAACCCCGTAGGTACATATGGTGACTATAGATTGTGTGATTTTCTGTATTGATGATACATCAACACAATTAAAAACTCAAAATAAAGCTGGGCTTGGAACAGGAGCCTGCCCCATGCAGGGCCCTGTCCACCACACACCATGCCTTCTAAGATGAGGTGTCCCCCCTGTGGTCCTCAGATGGTGGCTGAGATTCCCCCGCTGAAAAGGAACAGGGTCGGGGGAGGCGTCTCACCTGCTTCTCTCCCCACCACAGTCGACGTCCACCACGTTCCACATCACGCAGGAGTCGTCGGAGATCACGATGAAAGGCCAGATGTCCTGTGGCTTGATCCCGAGCTCCTCCTGCCGGTTCCGCTCCAGCTCCAGGTTGTGGTAAGACAGCTCCTTGATCAGGAAATGGGCAGCACCTGAAATGGGCAAAACCACTCCCACTCTCCGGTCTGTCCTCCGGGGACACCCACACAGGACCAGAGCCCCGGTGAGAATTAGAGCGGCTCATCAAGGCCCACCCTGAGACCAGCCAGCTCCCGATGGTTCTCATCTCCGTCACCAACCTGCACACACACCTGTCTGCTTCTCCTTGCCGATCACAGAGAATGTGAATTAAGCTAATAACCAAACATCAAAGAAGAAAGAATATTCCAGCAGATCAAAGCAGCGTTAAAAATCAAAAAGCTTGATGAAAAATGTTAAGCACGTTCATCTCCAGAATATTCTCCCGAGCCTCCCTTCACAGAAATTTTACCGAGTAGGGCAAGTTAAACAATGCCTACCAACTCCAGCACTGTTGAAGATACTGGGGAGCACCAGCATGATGTGGTTGGGCCAGTATTTCTTGTAAATAGCCATTTCATACTCCTTGACAACCAGCACATGCAAATGGCTGGCACCATCCATAGCGTGGTACAGATTAAAGAGTCCATGTTCGTGACGGCCAGTGGTTGGAGTGAATGTCGGACTTTTTATACATTCGTGACTCTGGAAAACACAGGAATAACGAGGGGAAGTGCTTGTAAATATGGCCACAATCACTCCCCTCCCTTTGAAAAGTGACTCTGCAGCCTCTTCCATCAAATGATGGAGGCTAGAATCCAGCTTAGCCTTGGGACTTGCTTTTACCAAAAAAAACAGTGAAAATGATGGTATGCCAGTTCCAAGCCTGGCCTCCAGAGGACGGACACATTCTGCCCTCTCTTAGAACCCTCTCACGGATGAGCTGGGCTGGCGGGTGGAGGAGGAGGGACCACAGGGAGCAGAGACGGGACGGGCACCCCACGGTAACCACCCTCCCCGGCCATCCCCCAGGCGACCTGGCAGCTAAGCACAGACATGAGTGAGCGCATCCAAGCCAGGGTCACCACACGGCGGGACCAAGCCCAAGCTGCTAGCCCAGAGAATCAGAAGCTAAGTAAGTACTCGTTTGGGAATGGTTTTCTTATGCAACCCAAACTAACTAGCATCTATCAATTACCCAAATGCATTACCCTGCCAAATGAGCATCGACTGTGTGCTGAGTATATGTTATTCTGGATGATTTAAATCCCTCAATCCCTTATCCATACAGTCTAGCTCCTTATACACTCGGGTTGTGAATCTTTTATATAAATAACTAGGTTTTCTTCCAGTCTGGCCGAGCTAGGTCTTCTACTCCTTCTGAGTTCCTCAGAGCACCCACTACAAGGCTGTGATGTAGCTGGTGCCCAGAAGTTCTGGTGGGCACTAGCTGGAAAAGTGAGGGGGGTAACAGAGAAATCCTCCACCAGGGCAACAGCCCACCCCAGCCCACGGAGTAGGAGACACCCTATAATAAAGGCCCCATTGGTTGTTTACAAATGTTTTCAACGCTCGGTAGAAGCCTGCTGGGTCTGAAAGGCAATTCAAACCCCATCATACTGGCCCTCTCACCCAGAGAAGGAAAAGCAGCGTTCCACACAAGGCTGACACTGGCTGGGGCTGGTGGGAGGGCAGCAAGCTGACCCTGAGAGTGTTGGGCTGATCTGCCAAAGCAGGCATCCCTAGGAGGAGCATCCCTAAGGATGCCGGTCACAGAGACAATGAGTTATGAAGAGCACCCTCTTCAAAAGAGAGAAAATTTATCTTTTATGGATGACGTGATGCACCACCTGGGATTCGCTTCCAAATAACAGAGGAAGGCAGAAGAGAAGGACAGACGGATCGAGGTTGGCTGTGAGACTCTAGGCTAGGTAGTATCGGCTAGGTAACAGGCCTGCAGGGGCCACTACACTATTCTACTACCTTGGCCTGTTTCAAATGTTCTGTGACAGCAGTAAAGACAAGGTGGGGAAGGGATGAACATCGACAGAGCACCTGTCATCATCCAGGCACCGTGCAGGTGCCCTATGTCGGTCATTCCAAATCATGCTCACCGGAAGCTCCTGCAAGAATTACTACTGCCCAAGTTCACAGATAAGGGAGCTGAGGCTCAGCAGTATTCAGGGACAGGTTCAAATAACACAACTCAAAAATGGTAGAGCGAGGTTCAAACTGGAGTCGGAGTGACCCCAAAGCCCAAGCGCTCCCCAGCCTCCTCCAAGTCCAATCACCATCTCCAGCCCCACCTGCCCCACCTGCCCCACCTGCCCCTGACTCATCAGGCAGCTCCGGTCTCCTGCTCAACGGTCACTCGCAGCCACTGTGATGTCACCCCCTGGACTCAGAGCCAGTACCTTGTCTGTGACAAGGGGCAGCCGCATGCTCTCCAGCTGGCCTCCGGGTTGGCTGAAGACAAAGTGGTGCTCCTTGGACTTGGGGATGATGAAGTGGAGTTGGATTTCCTCTCCTAGCATGGAGTAAGAGAAGGCAAAGGCGTGCAGGGTGGACTCATAGAGCTGAGGTGTGAGGGGAAAGGACAGAGCTTGTCATCAGAGTCCGGTGTTACTTCCCAGAAGAACCCAGGCCCATCGTGGGCATGACAACACAAAGCTCATTGCCACCGCCCCACAGCACGAGAAACCCACCACAGGTTGACTCCGGTACAAAGTGTGGACACCCAGGTCTCGTTACTGGGCAGACACAGTGGAGCCCACACCCACTCAGACAGAGACCTTCCCATCTTTAATTCTGATCGTGCTTCACCCAGTGACGCCCCTTTAGACGCCAACCCCTTCTGGACTCTGGATTTGACCCAGAGGCATGCTAGGTTACCAACAAAAGCTTTCACACCATAGATCTCATTTTTTAATTCTAATAAATGTATTTTTCCATCACAGGCATTATGCATAGCAACATATTAATAAAACCGTGTCAGGGAGTGCATACACTTGTACACTCCTGTCACCCTCACTCTGTCTGGGCCCCCTTCCATCCCTGTGGTGCCGTAACGAACAATCCTATGAAGCAGGTACCGTCCCCATTCCCACTGTATGGATGTGGAAACTGACACTCAGAGATCTTGGGTTCACTCCTATCCCCAGGCCTACCCTCCCATCCCCTCATCCCTTGTCTGCCCGCACTGCCCCCTGGTGTGACACCCCCCCACCCCCGTGCCACATGGCTCTGCCCAAGCCTCCTTCCCTGACCCCCCTCCGCCTCCAGTGGACAGCCCCTCCCCAGACTGGCAACTAGCATGTGCGTTGCACTCCTGAGAATCCCCAAGGCCTGGAGAAGGCAGGCCACACACGACACCCCAACTATAAACTCCTACTGTGGCTCCACTAGAACCACAGAGCCCTTTGGGAGCAGAGAGGAGACAGAAATAGATTTTGACTTGGGGAGGGAGCAAAGGGGGACGTAACTGAGGAAGCTTCATTAAAAAGATCAGGGAGGCTTGAGAGAGGGGGAAAGACAGCAGGGGGAACTGAGGCTGGAAAGGCCAGCAGGGAGCGGGCGTGTGCCCTTCAGCACTCCTCACGTGGCCTGGTTCTGAGCCCCCTGCGACCGTGGCCCCCAGATCTGAGCGCCCCTGGACACGGGGGCGCAGTCCAGCCGGAGCCCAGGGTCTCCAGAGCTCGGTTCTGTTAATTCACTCTGGACAACGACCGAAGTGACCGTGACTAAAACCCATGAGCCTCCTCCGGTTCTTTAAACTTATATTTTCTCTGCTTTGAAAGAAAAATTTCATCTCCAAGGAGGAAATGTTAGGACAGCTTATCTGGAACAAACAGAATTACTATTTTTAATTCTTTAAAAAACTGCTCATATGCATTTTCTAATTTTGTCTCCAGTACAACTGAATAGTTTAAAAAAAATCAGTCTAGATGCTACTTCAGTGAGAGCTGAGCTCCAGGCCGGGCAAACTTGGGAAAATTAAAGCCACTATCTGCTGTTCCCCTCTGCAAAAGGGACAGAGCTGGCAAGCCCGTGCTCAGGCTGCCGCAGAGCCTTCTGGAAGCAGCCAAGGGCGTGAGCTATCCTGCACACCCCTGGGGGCTTCGTAGGTGTCTGACTGGCTCCCACCACCTCCAGCTGCCCCAGCTGCTCCTTCCTCCCCTTTCCCTTACTTAGGTCCGAAACGAAACACTAACTGTAAAATCCTGCCTGCTATCTGTTTCTTCATGACCGGCCTCACAGGCCCTCTGTGAACTTGCAAAATGCAGCTTTGCCCACATTAGGCCACTCCTCGGAGTTCTCCCTGAAAATGTCCCCATTCCACCTTCCCCACAGCACCTGATGCCTTTTCTTAAAATGTTTTATTTAAATTCAGTTTAGTTAACATACAGAATGTATTATTAGTTTGGGGGGTAGAATTTAGTGATTTGCCCATTGCGTACAATACCCAGTGCTCATTCCATCATGTGCCCCCCTTAATGCCCATCCCCCATTACCCCCTCCCCCCACCCACCTCCCCTCCAGCAACCCTCAGTTTGTTTCCTAGAGTTAAGAGTCTCTTATGGTTTGCCTCCCTCTGTGTTTTTATTTTTTTTTTCCTTCCCTTCCCCCACTACGTTCATCTGTTTTGTTTCTTCAATTCCACATAGGAGTGAGATCATATGTATTTGTCCTTCTCTGACTGAACCTGATGCCTTTTGTGATGTACTCTCTTGGCCCACCTTCCCAGTGTCCTCTCCTGGGACCACCCACCCCTTGCACTTTAGGGTCCAGCGACTAAAATCACTTCTAATTCCCCCAGAGACCCCATGTCTCCCCTCTACTGGTGACAGGGGTTCCCTCTCTTATCTGCCTCGGTCCCTTGGCAAATCCTTATTGATTCTTCAAAACCCTCTCCTCTGCTCCCCACCCAAGACGGTATCTTCATTTATAAAATGGGGATAATGTTATTGGCTTGCAGGGTTTTAGTGAGAATTAAGTAAGAACCAGACAGGAGAGTTTCCTCTCCGGTGGGTGTTGAATGGGTGAAGGTGTAGCTTAAACACCGACACCTCCAGGTGACCAGCCAGAGCCCGGGGTCAGTAGCCTTATCCATTTACCCGAGTGTCTAAAGTATCATTTTCTAGCACGTAAAAAGGTTAGAGGAAGTACTGACATATCAAAAGTGCCTAGCACGTTGCCTGGCATGCAGTAGGTGCTCAGTAAGTGCACACTGCTCGCCTTCTCCACCTAATTTCTATGCTTCATCAGTACTGCCTTTCCTGCCAGCCCCTCATTGTTCTGAGGTTTTGTGCCCGTGCATCTCTCCATCCCCAGACTGTGAGTCTTGACTACGGGGACAGAGTTTATTCATCTCTCTGACTGGTACATCAGCACTCAGTCTGCTGCACTGAACTCACTTCAGAAACTGCTAGAACGTCAAGAAAATGAAGACATGCACAGTCAGTTAACTCTGCCACTAGTAAACGTGTAATCCCAGGAGAATCACTGTTTCTGTGCTGTCAGCAATAACTCTGGAGATTACTGAAGGGACCTGGAGATACACGTAGACCGGGAAGCAAAGGCTTCCAGAACGTTCCACACCCTGCTCTGGAATGAAACCTGGAAACATCAGGAGGAGAGAGAACCAAGGGTGTCGGCCAAAACGCAGCGTGCGGGAGAGCTGCCCGCTCCAGGGCTCCTGGAGACTCGGGCCCCGGGCCCCGCGGCCTACCTGGTAGCGGGGGTGAAAGCCCATGTACTGCTGGCATTGTTCACAGTGGTGGTATGTGTTGTACGCCGCGTACTTGGACAGCCTCATCCGCGCCGTCTGACGCCGCACGTAGAGCTCCTCGGGCTTCCGGGCCGGGCCCCCGTCTGCAGGAAACGCCAGCGTCACAGGGCAGCTGCAAGCGGGACAAGCCTGCCCTCCGCGCTGCTCTTCCGATCGCAAGGAATGGAGGTGCTGTAACAGGGCTTCCCGAGACTGCACCCGGTCCGAGACAGCCGAGACCCCGCGGGAGAAGCCGACAGACTCTGTTCACACAGGGTCCTCCTGACGGACCTACAAATGTCTTAGACACAGATCCAAGGATGCGCTCCAGGACAACGCACATGGACTGCTGACCGCGGATGCAGATACCGTTTTGCAGATGAATCGCCTCCGGTTTGCCAAAATGACTTAGCCAGGTGAAGCTTTTAACCCTAAACCTGGATTAGAGACTGGTCTATGTGAAGGATTGGTCAGTGAAAGTGCTTCAGATAGAGAGAAGGTAGAATTCTTGGTGTGACATGGAGACTGGTGAGTATCCTCCTTCCCTTTCCACTCACCCAACTTTCCTAGCCTGCACTTAAAATCATACTAGCCCACTCATAGCCGGTGTTTGCTGACGGTGACCCTGAAGCCCTGCGGGGTGCTAATACCCTGAAAGTCAGTGGTCCCTGAAGGAGGAGGGGGAAAACAAGACACTGAGGCTAGAGAGGGAAATATGTGTGCTTCATTAGGACAACCCCAATTCATACATTAACATCCACGTCTCGTATCCCCTATTAACCAGGACCTTGAGGATATTCTGACCATGACACACCCCCAGGAGCGCGCTCATCACTGTCCGCATGTGCGGAGCCGCCAGCCTGCCTTCTCGGGAAGAGCCCGTCCTTGTCCACTGAGGCAGTGACCTCAGTTCTCTGCCAGGCACCGCTGGTTATTTCCCACCACCAGACAACTGAGCTCATTGCCAACACAGTTCAGCACAGCCCTTTAAGAGGCTCTTCCTACGTACTCTGGAAGAAGGTGGAGGTTTATGGGGCTGACCTTCGCTCTTTACGCTCCGAAGGTGGGAGCAAATCAGACTGGCATCTTCATACTTCGGGTCATGAATAATGTAGTCAAAAGGCAACTTCTTGAACAGATCCAGGTCTGGCCAGGGGTCACTGAGCTGGAGGTAATGCCAATCTGATTCCTCTCTGAGATCTGTAAGATTGGTAGAAACACAGGTGACAAACTAGGAAGTGAGAATGATTGATTTTTAAATGTGTACACGGGTGATGCTTGCGGGAGAGCTGTTGCTGAGTCTGTGCGTTACCAGGGGATGCTACTGTCTCTTGAAGGCTCCTGGAACATACCGCATTCTCAGGATTGTTCCAAGGAAGCAAGAGGTGCCTTTGGGTCTACCTCTCATCCATGGCCTGTGCTGTGTTTCCTGTGGGATGGGTTTGCATTTCTGGCTCCCATGTTGACTTCAGCTCCTCCCAATATACCTACTGCTTGCTCTGCACATCCCCCCAGCAAGCCCCACCCCATATGCAGCATACTGGTTCCCACTGCCAATGGAACCTAACACAGTTCTCGTTATCTTACATCTAAATGCTACACAGCCGTATGGCCAACTCCTCATGCACCTCTAGAAAGCCTAAGTGTTCAAGCCCACTGGTTTCTCCCTTCTGAATGCTAACACTACTCATGGCCCAAATTCTATCTTACATCTTACCTCATAACTGGTATAATCTATGGATGCTCATTCAGTGCTGGTTGGCTAAAAAAGTAAAAATATCTAGACGGTCCAACTAAAATTACATAATGTATTGATCTTTATAGCCATGGTATGTACACATGGGCAGAGTGCGTGTCCATCAGAGAAGACACAAACAAAGAAGAGGGAGAGGCATGTTTATTGCGTGTGTAATAAGTGCTCAGTGCTTCATATGTATCTTAATCTTCACAACACCCCTTAAAACAGCAATTATCCATGCTTTCGCAAAGAGAAAACCAAGGCAGGAGGAGAGTTTCTGAGAAAATGGGCTTTGAAGTTGAACAAACTGGGCTCAAATCCTGTCTTTGTCATTGGGATATCCAAGAAAGTGAGGACACAGAGACTCAACAGGTCTGATTTTCATCTGAAATTCAGTTCCAAACTGTTAGGGGGGAGGTGTGAAAGCTCAGAGCTTGGATGAAGAGCCTCCCTCCTCTTTCCTTCAAAGGAAAGACTAAGGGATGGATGAGCCTCCTTGGTTCCAAATTTTCTCCAAGTCAAAACTCAAACACAGTCAAGAACATCTAAGGAAATGTCTTTGCAGATGGCAGGACTTTCATCTCTTTTAAGGCTGAATGATATTCCATTGGGTGTATATACCACACTTTTCTTTATCCATCCATCTGCTGATGGACATTTATCCATCAACGGACAACACATGGTTGTTTGTGTATCTTGCCTACAGTGAATAACACTGCAGTGAACATGGTAACTATGAACATGTCAATTAGTTTGATCGTCGTGGTGATTTCACAATGTTATACACATATCAAATCATCAAGTTGTACACTTCAAATGTATACAATAAAAATAAAGACAAGTGCTATTTAGATGTCAGTGCAATCTACTCATTCCCTTTCTTTGCAACACAGACAGGCCTCCTCACGCAAATTTTAATTCCCAAAGCAACAGATTCATTTACCAGACCAAGTGGATGAGCCACTGGAGGCCACACAAGGAGGTAGTGGAGCATCAAACACCTGTTCAAAGGGAGTCTTACCTTAATCAGGGCAAATTCTGTTCCCTGAATAAGGAGAAATGGCTTTTTGCCACATACCATATACTTCCATTTTGCCCTAAGATGTGGACCTATGCGCTCAGCTGCCTGAGTGGGAAATTCCCCTGATGGATAACCCTGCTTTCTAGAAGCAGCCATCAAATCCAGTTCAGCTCCAGCTCTGCCATCTCCCAGCTGGGCGCCTGAGCATGTTACTTATCAGGAAATAAGCAATTACTCTCACTGGGATTTGCAGAAAGTTAAATGCAACAATTTATGTAAAGTATCCAGCACAGTGCCGCGACACTTGGAAGATACGCAGTAAACAGCGGTTATTTTCAGTGTAGCAATGTTATCTCCACGAAGGCCTCCCAGCGCTATTCTGATATTGAGCACAACGGCAAACAAGGGAGAGATAAAAGCACCCCTCAAGGCCCCCGGGATGAGTGGGATCACTGATCTGAAAATGCCACCTAGATGGGAAAAGACATCAAGTCACCCGAGAAACTGATTAAAGAGGATTCTAAGCCCACGTGTCACCAACGCATAACTCACTGATATTGATCTCCTCTTCATCATAAACATCCACTTCCGTCAGCCGGATGAGCATTCTTGACAAAATACTGAGGAACTGCAGGTAGGCACCTGTCTTCCCAATCTGTGAAGACATTGGAGTTGGAGCCAACGCTCAGTACAGCCTGTCTACGTGCAGGCACCAGCTGGAGCACCGGACAGGCTCTGTGTCACCTATCTCTTTCCAAGACCTCACCTCATTAAAGCAAGAGCCAGGGGGATGCAAAGCCACTTGAGGGGAAATGTGACCTAAAGAAGGACGGCAGGCCACAGAGGGACTCCCGTGAGCAGCAGACCTGCCTGCTTATAAATCATGGCAACGCATCTCTACTTTTAATTGGCCACATTTTCTAAGCTGTTAGAAATAGGACTTTAATAGCAAACTGAAGAAAGGTTGCTTCAGAAGATGAATTGACAATATAAAGCGTAATAATGTCTTAGAAGAATCTTGTATGGGGGCGCCTGGGTGGCTCAGTCGGTGAAGAGTCCAACTCTTGATTTCGGTTCAGGTCAGGATCTCAGGGTCGTGAGATCAAGCCCCGCATCTGGCTCTGTGCGGGGCACAGAGCCTGCTTGAGATTTGCTCTCTCCCTCTCCTGCTGCCCCTCTCCCCCATGCACCTGCACTCTTTCTCTCAAAAAAAAAAAAAAAGAGAATCTTGCATAATTAGATTGCTATTCTTGCGTTAATCGATAGGTCAAAATCTGTTGTGCAAGACTTAAAAGTCTGGCATCTCATTTCTCTCCTCCTAAGGCCAGGAAAATAATTTTTCTTCTCTTCCTGCTTTTTCTTCTTGTATCTTAGAGTCCCTTGCTCCCTCAGCCACACACCGGGCTAGGACACTACTGAGTCTTAGTTCACTTTGGTCACAGGTGGTTAAACGGGCACCTGTGGGCTAACCTCCCACCCTGTTACTCTGGGAATGTGATTTCTAAGTTCTCAGCTCAATGCCTGGCTCATACTCTGTACTCAACAAATGTGGATGAACAGAAATAACTAACTTTAGAAAAGAAAATATGAAATACGACCAGGTGAACGTTCAGAGAAAATACTTGCCATACATGTAATAATAGACAAAGAATTAACATCTATAATCTCTAAAGGGCTCCTGCAAAGCAACAGGAAAAGGTCAAATGCCTAAAGGAAAAGTAAATAAGAGAAACACACCAGAAAAATCACTATGAAAGTCGTAGCAGTGACCCATAAGTATATATATTCAACCTTAATAAAACTATAATATACTATTTTTCACCTATCAAATGGGTGAAATTTTTAAGATAACATTCAATAACATATGACAGTATGGAGAAACCTGGATCCCCTTTTTCAAATTTATAAAAAGTTAATATATGCTCATTCATTTAAACATTCAAGAAATACCGAGTGATGGTGAAGAAGAATGTTTACAAAGCCCACACCCTCTTCAGTGGCAATTCCGCCAGGGATTTCTTTTTGGTATTTCCGCACACAGACACATATACGTACACACCAATACTTATTTTCCTAATTGATATTACACTGTGTATATATTACTCTGCAACTTGATTTTTTTCAATTTCAATTTCAAATTTTTCAATTTAAAACCTTAGAGCAATTTCAGTGTCAGCATCTAGAGATCTACCTCCAACTTTCTATGGCTGAACTGTGTGATACAGTCGTACCCAAATTTATTCAACCGACCTTGACCAATGGAACTTCAGTTGTTTCCAGTTTGGTTTTTGACTATTGTAAACAATCCTAAAGTGAGAATTCTTGTACATGTTTTTGCGGGTTTGCATTTCTTGGAGCAGACTGTAAGGAAATTAACAGGCTGAGTCCGAAGGCAGCCATCATGAAACGGGACAGGACGGTATTGATGGGGGTGAAAACAGCAGTAACTGACCCCACAGCTACCTGCTCTCTACGGTCAGGCTGTACTCCAGGCGCCCTGTGGTTATTCTCTCGTTTACTGCTCACATCTCTGACTCAGGTGCTACTCTTTTCCTCATTCTCGGAGAGGACAATGAGGCACGGAGAAGGCTGGATCCTGCCCAGGGTGCCAGGTGTTGTCTGAGGCAGAATTCGAGCCCACTCCGGAGCCCACCTCCCACCTCTGCACTGTTCTGACAAAGCCCCTTCCAAGACCTGACACGGTCATCTTCACACGCTCCCAGCACTTGGCAGATGTCTCCCATTTTGACAACTGCAATGTCTTTTGTTGTTAGGAAAATACAGTGAGGTGAGAGGTTGGGATAGGGACAGGCCTCCTGCCTCCCCAGTACGTTTCACCAAAACCTTCCGGTGCAGAACCCCGGGTGGGGGTGGGACGGGGGTTCTAATTGGCACAGACTGGCCGTGGGGACCAAATGAACTAATGTGGGAAGAGCAGAGTCAGGGTCTGAAGGAGCACTCACAGAGAAGCTCTCCGCCCCCACATCCCGTGAGGCAAGCACCTGCGGTCCGAGGCTGGATGTGAGCCAGCCATGGGTGGCAGGCAGGTCCCAACCCCCAAGCCCCCGCCCACTGTGGGGTCAGCCGTCAGAATGGCAAGATGTGACTAACGGGGTGCTGTCAGCCCCAAACCAGCCCCCGTGGGCGTGAACACAAGAACCCCCACGCAGCCCAGGCCCCGGCCGGGCAGCACCCACCTGGGGGGGCCCGCTGAGCAGGAGCCTGCGCGGGTGGAAGCCGTCCACGCGGCCCTCAGCGCGGTTGCCGTAGTCCATGTGGTTGGGCCGGGGCACCGTCCACTGCCGGTAGTAGAGGGACTGCTCTGTGGACGTCATCGTCTTGCTGAGCAGGGGGCGGAAGGAGCTGGCCCACATGACCGAGTGGGAGGGCAGGAGTGAGGCGGCCTTGGGCAGGCCGCTGCTGTCGGTGGCCGTGACCATGTCGTACACCAGCTTGGGCAGGAAGACGATGGGGGGCTGCCGGCAGGCCTTGGTCATGGAGCACTGGGAGGCCGGCAGGACAAGCGTGCCGGCCGCGGGGGTCACGGACGAGGAGGAGGAGCCCGAAGAGGAGAGCTGGGAGGACGACGGGGTGACCGACACCTGGACGCTCCTCTGGCTGGCTCTCAGGCCGGAGTCCGGCTGGGGGGCCAGCCCAGGGCTGTGCCTGCTGATGACCGACGGTGGCCCCCGGCTCGCTTGGGGCCTCTGTCTCTCCCCGGGGACCCTGCCCTCCTCCGAGGGGCCGCAGGGCTGTGGCGACCTGGCCCGCTCCCCCTGCGACGGTGGCCCGGGCTGAGCCGAGGACTCGCCGCACAGCGCCGAGCCTGGGGAGGGATGCACCTGTCAGTCACGCCCCAGAGAGGACCCTCGCCAAACCGCCCACCACTCCTGTTCCTGTGACACAAAGTACCCCTACTTGACAATCACTGGGAACTTCCACAAACGAAAATGAAATCCCCCCTCTGGGTACACAGAAACTTTTGTCTTAGGACAGAGACAGGACTTGCTGAAGAGAGCGAGCCGGTGTCACGGGGCGAGACTTCACCCCACACTCACCCCGGCACCCTGCACACGGCCTCAAAGCCTCTCCATTGCAAGCCCCGACCCAATCTGTTCCACAGCACCCGGCTCAAGCTCCGCACACGCCCCGTGCAGGTGTTCCCGGGACGCCACTCCCCGCTGTCCCCCCGGGGAGCTCACATCTAGCCTCTGCACCAGCACAGTGGCAGCTTCTCGTGCAAACTGCCAGGGAGCCGCGTGGGACTCAGGACTCAGGAGGCTTTAACCAAACGCTGGAATTACCTTGCTTTTCGAAGGATCGGGGGAGGAAATGCAGAGCAGCCAGCCGAACCAGGACTTCCTTTCGCCCCTCCCCGACGTGCACCACGTTGAGGCCTCGGGGAGTGTGGCCACATACCGGGCAGCACCCTGCTCTCTCATATCATCCCAGCCATACGCACCAGGGCTCGCGTGGCGGCTCGCGTGGCAGCTCACGGCAGCCCTGCAGAGCTCAGGCCCGCAGAAAGCAGGGCAGACGGGACACTGCATTGTTGTCTTAACTCTGTCCTTTCCCAGGAGATGGTGTGGACAGAAGACAGACCCAGGGAGGCCTGCCTCAGAAAGGCCTTCCGGCCACCCTGCAGCACTTGGCTCAGCCTGCACCCCACGCACCACGCTGCTCAGGCAACCTCCCCTCTGGATCTGAGCTCCCCCCAAGGGCCCTACCACTCGGCTCCACGGCCTGCATCTAGCGCCCTTCCAGACGGCTCACGGAAGGAGGAAATGCAGCACTGGATTTCTCAAAAGGAACATCCAGATGTGCACTCTTTCCCACCTGGAAAGGCAAGGGCAAGGCACTTGAAGCGACTGGCTCAGTGTCAATGGACTGGCCCGAAGAGCACATATGGGGAGGCTGTGAGGGACCCGGGCACTGGCCTGGGACAAGGGGGACAGATGGGCCTGAAGGATATCAAAGAGGCACAAGATTCCAAAAGTAGACCAAGGGAACCCCAATGCCTTCATCCGCTTCCCTAGGTTGTGAGGGCCAGCCCAGTAGGACCCTGAGGATGGACACCCACACGGACGTTTCTCTCCGTCCACCCCCAAACCTCAGTTGGTCTGTCCCCAGTTGAATCCAGGGAAACTGTCAGTCTATAAAGATGAGACCCACCCTCACCCAGGTCTCCACCCTGACTCGGTGGCTGCGGCCAAGTCTCACCTCCCTGGGCCTCCATTCCCTCATCTCTGAAATGTATGGCAGCCAAGGCCATGAGAAGCGTCTCGTCAGAGACCCCTAAGACCTCAGGACCTTCTTCCGAGGAGTCCTGGCTAAGAAAGTCACCTCACCTAAATGAAGAACTCCAGAAGGAGAGAGCCTGGCTCATAGCCTGGACATTCTACTCCTGAAGACGCTGCACAGACCAGTGTGTCCCCAGAACCTTCTAGAAAGCTGTACCACCAGGACTGGGGAAGAACAAAGCACGATTCCTCTCTATTCTGAATAGCACAGATTCATTCACTCACCCATTCGCCAGCTCCCTATATTGTTTGGGGCAGACGACACCAGAGGCTACAGCATTTGGCTTTTCTGACTACCCCGAGCCGAGGACTAGGTCTCCCTTCTGCCGCAGAAGGATGTGAAGGAGTCCTCGTTCTGACTCCCTCTGGGCACAACTGTGAGGGAGACCCCCCCTCAGCCTGGCTCACTGTCACCCGTGGGCTGCGTGAGGAGGGGGCAGAAGACAGGAAACCAAATCCCCTGGTGTTCTCTGACCTCCACAGCCAGGTGACCACCACGCCCTGTGCCCAAGTACCACATGCCCCTCCACAGCCCAAGCCTCCTCCATCCTGAGTATCTTCTCCTCTGAGACCCAAAGGCCCTCCTCTAAGGGGCCGCAGGGCTGTGGCGACCCGGCCTGCTCCCCTGCAGGGACCGCACCCTATCCCTAAACTGCCCCCACCTGAGGCAAAATTACCTCTCCATCCACGGAACTGTCCCACGTTGCGTGTGTGTGTGTGTGTGTGTGTGTGTGTGTGTGTGTGTGTAAACAGCAACGCAGCCCTTGTACGCTATCACATGGCTGATGAGGAACCATGAACACCCTGAGAGCGGGTCTGTAGCTCATCTATCTTTCTGCCCTGACTCAGATACCAAGTCGGTTCTCGGTAATGGCTGCACAGAAAGACCGCAATGCTGTTTCACGTGGGCCAGTCCTGACTGCTCCCAGACACCAAGCATCCCTTAGGCAGAAACTGGGCATTTTACGCACATTTCCCTGTGGTCTGGGTCCCAGGCTCAGGGACCACCTGTTGCCTTTTGTTGCTTTTCCCCTAGGGAATCTGTGTCCACTTCTCTCTGCCTTTAGACTTGACAAGAACACCTGACCCCAGCCCCTCTCCTCCCCCAGGGCACACTGATTCCCTAAACCAACAGCTGCTGGGGGAGCAGCAAGGGGACACTGCCCAGCACAGGCCACCGAGGGAGACAAGAGTCCATGATCTTCTCCCAGCAACTCTGACATCCTGCCCAAACTCCTCACGTCCCAGACCCCAACCCAGAAACACAATCTCTAAGAAGCTCCAGTTCTTCAAAGATTCCCTTATCTTTCCAGTTCTAGGTGAAAATAAAGATCTCTTTTCATTCTCTGAAATCTCAAAAGAAACATCCAGATGTGCACTCTTTCCCACCTGGAGACTTACTGGATGCTTTAGAGGAGAGGGACGAAGACACCGAATCGTGGGAGCAGGACCTCTCCCTCTTCACCGGGCTCCTCTTCTCTGAAGTGGAGCCTGTTTCAAGACACACATGCTGAAAACGCCTCATAATCATCATCTCGTATGTTCGCCCAGCACTTCAGAGTTTGCAAAGTGTGTTCACACCTAGCATCCATCCATCCATGCATCCACCCATCCATGTATCCATCCATGCATCCATCCATGCATCCATGCATACATCCATCCATCCATGCATCCATCCATCCATGCACCCACCCATCCATGTATCCATCCATGCATCCATCCATCCATGCCTCCATGCATACATCCATCCATCCAGCCACCCAGCTACCATCTTGCAGGCACCCGCCTCTGACAGAGCCCCGAGGAGACAGAAGGGGGGCGACGCAGGCCAGTCAGGCGTTCACGGCTCATGGAGGCCCCTTCTCACGAGCCACAGCTACAGATGTAAGGAGCGCAGAGAGGCAAGAGCAGGTGACTTTCTGGAAGGAGTGACCCGACCTGAGCCCTGAAGGGCCAGCAGGGGTAGCTCGAAGCCATGGGAGAGCCTCTGTGTGGCCCAGAGGGGACAAGAGCAGAGCACAGCCAGGGAACCCTGATGAGCTGAGTGTGACTAACAGCATGGGGTACTGTGTGAGAAGCAGTGAGACTAGAGAGGTAGGCTGTAAAATGCCAAGAATGCGGATTCATCCCACGGGCAACGGGGAGATTGAGGCATCTTAAGGTCAGGGTCACAATCACGTTTGTGCAAGGTTGCTACAGCTCCAGCAGAGTCTGTCCCGGGGGCCTTTTAGTCTCTGTCTTACAGGTGAGCAATCTGAGGCCAGTAACGGAAGCACGACGTGTCCCAAGTCACACAGCCAGCAGATGCAGCGGGAAGAGAAAGCGGGTCTTCCGACCCTGCATCACACCCCACAAACGCGTCCCATGCTTTTATAAACAGCTTTATCTTTTTTCTTGCTGCACTGTTGACAAGTCAGATGCCTTGCATTGCTCTGATTTACGTGTCCTATTAAAATACAGTGTTGGATTTTCATGTCTTGGAATGAAACCAGCCTTTTCTCATCAAACTTCATAATAAACCCAACCTGTTGGTTCACACAGGAAATACGCAAGCAAAGCTTATACGGGGCAGTAAAGTCACTGACTAGTCAAACCGAGTAGGAAACGGAGTCCTAAGAAACTGCAATTTTCCTTCCTATTCTCTAAGAATTCTAGAGCTAGGAAGAACCAATCGGGGTTTCCATTTTCTCATACCACCAAAAGTGGGGGGGGGGGGGGCAAAATCTGAATGCAATCAGGGATGTGCCATCTCCTTCAAAGACATATCCAGATAGTGCTCATCGGAGCTGCTGACTGTGAGACGGGCCCCAGGGCCACACAAGGGCAGGCTGCCCCCAAGATGAGCAGGCAAGGTGGACCTGCCACCCCTCACCTTCCGTCACCAGCTCCTCATCCTCGTTGTCTGTGCTGCTCAGCTTTTCCGCGTCGCTCTCTAAGGGCTCGTGCCGAGCCCCCTTCTCCAACGGAACCTCATTGCTCACGAAGTAAGCAGCCAGGCCCAGCTCCTGTTCCAGGGCTGTTCTCACCAAGCAGGAGGAGTTTATCAGACGCAGGTCGCAGTACCTCAGAGACCTGGAGGGAACAAGAAGGTATCTATTGAGTGTCTTCTACAATGAGGCACCACTCCCAGCGCTGGGGGGAATGGGGATCGGGACCAGCCCCCGGCCGCCTCTTTAGGGCCCTAGGACTTGTGCAAACAGAAAAGCAGATCACAGTACAGTGAGCCCTTGACAACCAAGTCAGTTTAACAGTAAGTCTCCTGGGGCTCCTGCTATGGATTCAGCCCTGTCCTGCATGTCATCAAGAGAGCATTTTCAGGCCAAAGAAAAGCAGACTTGAACCCCAGCTCTGCTACTTCTAGGGCCAGAAACTTCCACAAGCTGGGCAACCTCTTGCAGGCTCAGATTTTCATCTGAAAGATGAGAATTAATATTAATAGCCATCTAAGTGCACTGTTTGAAGACTATATGCAGTCAGTGGACATTTAATTATTCAATCAGCACTTAAAATGTGCCAGGACTGTGCTAGATGCTAGGGATAGGATGACAATCAAGTCACCTTTACCCAGCCTGTGAGGACACCATGTGCAGTAGCCCTCGTCTAAGTGTGGGGTGGCCCAGGGGAAGGATCCCCGGCTTTGGAGTCGGGCAGCCAGAGTCCATGGTCCACCAGGCTTAATCTCTGTAAGTCCCATTTCTTCACTGCTCAAAGGGGACACAAATGTCACCTTCACTCAGGGTGATAGCAGTGAGAGTAAAATGAAATACAGCACATGAGAAGAATCCAGTACAGTGCCAGCACATGACAGGAACCCAATAAATGTCAGTTCTTACTCTTTGGTTATACCCAGAAAGATGTGCGTGGCCACCTGCTCTTCTCCATGGTATTAAGTAAATCTTCAGGAGCCAACCTGTTGCCACCCATTCAAGGAACTGCCTTACTGGAGGCCCAGTGACCTTCTGTCCTGAGTGTCTACCTGTCCGTGTGACGGCCTAGAGACCCCAGGAGACACTGAGGGGGCTTGCAGCTGACTTCTCCGTGGCCGTGGTCTCCAAAGGAACACAGCCTTTGAGACAGTCAGCTGTGTATGTGGAAACCAACTCTTCCTAAGGGGCATCAGTGGCCTCCCCACTTCCCAGAACACCTCCTACACCGGGAGGGCCCCACTATCCCAGCAGCGAGATACCAGAAGTGGAGCCTTGACCCCCAAGATGATCAGATACTTTCCTAAACAGAACAGTCATCCCCAATGCACATGGTGATCCTCACGGGAGAAACTGAGGGAGGCATCAAACCCTAACCCCAGCTGGAAGACCTCCACCCACCAGGCCCAGCCACAGCCATCCCACCCCCCGTGAGCCCAAATGGTGCCTGTCTGAGAATTAGGAAATGCTGCCCAGACCTCAGACACATTTCAGTGCCACAGGATGGGAAACTGTCATGATGAATGCACAACTCAATGATGACTCTGAATGTAAAGACTCCACCTGCCATTGGGCACTGGAAGCCTGGCCTGACCACCCCCCAGAGCTGTGGGTACAGGCAGCTGGCTCTTCAAAGACCCCCAGGGCCACACAGCCCCCTCCCCTGACCTCGGTAAGGACTCCCCGTGAGGGTCCATCCCACTGAAGATCAGGATGCACGGCAGGCCCTCCAACTCCAGGTAGGTCTGAGGCCTCCACTCCGCGTCCTCAATTTTCTGCCACATCTGCGGATAATTAAAAAGCAATAAGGCGGGGAGACTCCTTACTTTCGGACTAGCCCAACTCTGACAGATCTATGGTGTCCTCCTCCTGACTGAAAGCATTTCATGAGAAGGACAGATAAGCACATCGTCTGCTTCACGGCTGCATTCCCAGCCACACTGCCTGGCACGTGTTAGCAATCCACGGAATATGTGCTGCCTGATCCTCGGGAAGAAAAGTGCATATCCTCAATTGGTCTAACCTTTTTACTGTGCTTTCTCAGCCATGCCTCTCCCTCGGTTCCTGCTTATCTCTTGTCTCAGGATTCTTTGTAACCCTCCTGCTTTTTCCCTCACCTCTCTGTGGGTTCAGTGAGAAGCTGGAGGCCAGGCACTGTGCTAGTCTGGGGGGGACTTGAGGACTATGGGGGTGGTCCCTGCCCTCCAATGCCTGGAGAAAGAGCCAGAGGATAGGCAGGGAGCACCACGCCAGCCCCACTGCAGAGGAGAACCCGGAGGCAGGGAGGGGCGGCTTCCCGAAAGAGGAAAAGACAGGAGCTGAGTTCTACAGGCCGATAAGTGTTGGCTAAACCAAGGAGGAGGAGAAGCACTCCCAGGAAGAATGAAAGGCACGCGGCAGCCCAGAAGTTTAAAAGAGCAAGACAAGGGGCGCCTGGATGGCTCAGTCGGTTAAGCGTCTGCCTTCGGCTCGGGTCATGGTCTCAGGGTCCTGGGAGCAAGCCCCGCATCGGGCTCCCTGCTCAGTGGGGAGCCTGCTTCTCCCTCCACCCCTCCCCCTACTCGTGCTCACTCACTCTTTCTCTCTCTCAAATAAATAAAATCATTAAAAAAAAAAAGAGCAAGACAATGCATTGGGGGTGGGGGGCAACATTTATAAGTAATTTAGTACTGCAGGTAGGGACAGGGCAAGAGAGGCGGCCAGAGGGTTGGCCAAGCATGGAGGGGGGCCAAGGTGCTTATCACCACACCATCACCCCTTCCCCCTACTCTCCCAGGCACCTTCCACCCCTCCTGTCCCTGCCCCCAGCGCCCACCTTGAGCTGCTTCACGAAGTGCTTCCCGACAGTGATGCCAGAGCTGGGATTGCCCAGGATGATCTCGAAGTTCTCCTCCAGGGCCAGGCGAGCCCGCACGTGGGCTAGCCGCTCATAGGCCACGGCCGCCAGCGGCGAGCAGGGCACCCGCAGCAGGACCATGAGCCCGTGGCCGCAGGGGCACTGTTTGGGGGAGTTGATGAGGTTCTGGGTGATCTCCAGCGTCTCCACCGATGTGTAGTCCTTCATCTGCGAGAGGCCGCTCACAGCCATCATGGCGGCCGCATAGTGCTGCACGAGAACAAAGGTCCTGATCACCGCGCTGTGCAGGCGGGGGAACCTGCAACAAACAGAGACACGGAGCCGTGACCGGGCTGCTGGCCACCTCCAGGACGCCCGGAGTACTCCGGGAGGAGGAGCAGGGCCTGCGCCCAGCAAACGAGGGACCCAACACAGCCAGCGATGCAGGCACGGTGACCCCCAGGTGGCATCCTGGTTGTGTTTCCTTTCGAAGCTGGTTGTTTCAAACCTGAAAGGGAAGCCTTCCTTAGAAGTCAAATCAAAAATTGCTCTGTCACTTCCAGCTAGGAAAGAAGCGCACAGGTTTGCTGTTTCTCTGTGCTTTCCAGCACCTGGTGCACCATAGCGGCTCAATAAATATTTGTGCAACGAACAAAGAGAGGAGTGAATGAAACAAACGATGGTTTCATCTCTCATCAGCTTAATTTGTACAGTAATTTGCCCCCAGTTCCCACTGAAAATAGAACCACTAGCGATCAGCATGTAAGCGCAGCCATCACATTCCCCAGATTGAGGGCGACCATCCCGAAGGCACATTTCTGCGTCTGTTTCAAGGACAATGAGTAATCAGAAATGTAACTAGATGTGATTTGACAGATGAATTACAAATCAGAACATACTCAGTCAAATCAAGAACCCCAGTTTGGGCTTCAGAAACTGTTACCATCTGTGTTTCCACAAAAAAGTGGTGACCCCGCCAAGACCACATGCCCTGCAGGCACTCTTCTGACCCACACATCAGAAACAGATCTGGAGGCCATCCCTGGAGGCCACCGTGTTTCTCTGTAGGAACAAACTGACATCTGCTTTACACATGATGCTCTTGTGGGTTTATTTCGCTGGAATGTATCCCCTGACACAGTGGCTTTTGGGGGCGAAGATAAAAAAAGTTTCTCGATCTACAAAGATCGGCCCCTTACCATGGCCATGCCACCCTGAGAGTTCTATCAGGGCAATCAGTCACCTTCCACAGAGTTTCTGAGGTCTTCTCTTGTCTACTATTCTCCTCCTTTTCTTCATTCTTTGTCCTTAGCATTTCAACTACATCATGGATTCTATAAGTTGGAGAGCTGGCTTGCTGTCTCAGGAAGGCATGACTGATCTGTAGATTCTGGCACAAAGGGGACTCAGCAGTCCAAGGACTGCTTTGCCCTGCCCTTGGTGCACTGGCCAAATAGTGCCCAAGAAGAAAGGAAGAGAGCAGGGTGGAAAAGGCATGGTCTCCCCTGCCCTACAGTACTGCCCGCACTGGTGGCCTCTTGTCACCCTGAGCAAGGTGGGATGAAGGGGGATGAAGAAGGGCAGGATGTCATTTGGGAGGAAGCATACTTTCTCCCCATCTCTGATATAGTGGGAAGTACCAGCATTCAACTCTGTTCAAAGGACAAGGAGGGTCAGAACAGGAACCATATTTACCCATCTGAAATGACAAAAAAAACTGGACAAATATATGAAACAAGAGTGTTTCAAGACATGGGGCATCAGGAAGTGAAAGACGGTTATCCTTAGAAATGGAAAAATTGGAGGAACCCCCAGCTTCTTCCTTGAAAAAGTTTCTGGAATGTGCTCAGGAAAGGGAAACCGAGGCAAAGCATCAGTGGTCTCCCTGACTTGAGGAAAGGCACTAGAGTCCAGGGAAATCGAGTAGGAAGAGTTCACAGGGGAGAGTACCAGAGAGGAATAAGCACAAATAGAGAACTCAGGAGAGCTACAGAGTGTCCCCCAAGTCATCAGTTGAGTAGTGATCAGTGCACATAGGTGAGGAAACTACTCAAGGCCAAGAAAGAAATCATCCAAGAGAATTAAAAGGAACAATGCCTCAAGCTCATACAGGGTTTAGAATAATTCCTGTTCCCATTGCCAGCATGGAAGACCTCAGAATTTGTGGAACATTATAGAATATTTAGAGAGTTTTGCCTTGGTAGTGGGACCAAGCCCTGTACTAAATACTGCTCTGGTCCTGTCTAACAAAGCTCAAAGCTTAAAGCAAGACCTGAAAGGATTAAACCATCACCAAGTAACTTAACTATATCCCAGAACAAAGCTAAAGATTTATAGGAATACAAATACATCCAGCCCCAACAAGGTGAAATTTACAATGTCTGGAATCCTCTCAAAAATTACCAGATATTTAAAGAAGAAAATACAACCCATAATAAGGAGGGAGAAAAATCAATCAGTAGAAACTGACTCAGAAATAACACAAATGATAGAATTAGTAGATAAGAACATTAAAGCAATTATTGTAACTATATTCCATACATTTAAGAAACTACAGGAGAGATTAAGAATGGTAAGTGGAGATATAAAAAAGACTCAAATTCTAGAGATCAAAACTAAAAAGCCTGAGAGAGAAGATGAACTGGACCTTGAATTCTCATGGGAGCTACCATCTTGGTACTTGGACTTGCCCTGCCCTGCCAGCATTAATAGATGCATTCAGGGATGGGTACCTGACCCAGGACAGGTCATCAGTCTTTTCTTGGAATTTTTCAAACAATGTTTAAAACAATCAGTCCCCCTCTAGAAGCTGAAGACTGTGTAATTCAGCAGCAATGAGGGGTGATGTTTTCATGGAAGAAGCCAGTGCAATGAGATACAATACAGCCAACACGAAGAGAGGTACCAAAGACAAGACAACACAGTCACAGCAGTGTTTAATACCTAACTTAAGTTGCTCCTGAAACCAGCTGCATCTCTGACATTCTGTGGTTTATTTATTCAACCTCTCCTTTTATTTCATGACTCACTACATTTCTCTCCTTTTCTTAAGGTAGTTCAAGTTGAGTTTCTGTCACTTGCAAGGTAGAACCCTGATTAATAAACAAACACAAGTAAATGTTTATCATCAATTCATCAATGTGCATATACATTCATGCATGTGCTACCTGAAATTGTCTTTCTTCTTTTCTTAGAAGACAACTTCTTCTCTTAGGAGAAGAATTTCTTCCTGTCATATAAAACTCCTTTGCTTTTATAAAAAATATATATATATAAACAAACAAACCGGATATGACTCACAGCAGGAAAAAAAGATTAGTAAATGTGAAAACATAGCAATAGAAACTATCTAAAATGAAACAAAGGGAAACAAAAACAATAACATCAGAGAGTTATGGAACAACTTCAAGCAGCTTAATGTATGTGCTATTGGATTACTCTAACAGAGAGAAGGAGAACGTAGAAAAATATATTTGAAGAAATAATGACTGAATTTTTCCTCAGACGTAATGAAAATTCAATTAACTTAAGTACAAGAAACATGAAGAAAATTATACCAAATCATATCTTAAATTGCTTAAAACCAGTAACAAATTAAAATATTTTTTAAAGTAGCCTGGTCAGCGGATGGGAGGAGCTGGGAGGGAAGGGCACATTACAGAGAGAAACAAAGGTGTGATGGTGGCAGATTTTGTTTGAAACAGTGCAAGTCAGAAGACGGTAGAACAACATCTTTAATGTACTGAAAGAAAAAACTACCTAAATTTTATACCTAGGGAAAATATCTTTCAAAAATGAGTAAAAATAAAGACACACAAAAGCTTAAGGAATGCATCACCAGCAGACCTTCCCTACAGATGTTGAAAAAAAGTCCTTCAGAAAGGATAACAAAACTAGATAAATCCACACAAAGAAATGAAAAGCACTGGAAGTAGTAACTATGTGCATAAATATAAAAGATGTTTTTAAAAATTATTATTATTTAAATATCTCTGAAAGATAATTGACTATCTAAAGCAAAAGTAATTTATTGTGGAGTTTATAACATATTTAAGTAAAATGTATGAGCATAGACGCACAAAGCCTGTGGGATGAGAAATAGATATACTACTGTAAGATCCTTATCCATGAAATGGTATAATATCACTTGAAAGTAGAAAGTAGGTTAAAAATATATACTGTAAAGTCTAAAGCAACACCTAAAAGAACATATGAGTTACAGCTAATGGTGGAGAAAATGAAATCACAAAGCCTGTGAGATGAGAAATAGATATACTACTGTAAGATCCTTATCCATGAAATGGTATAATATCACTTGAAAGTAGAAAGTAGGTTAAAAATATATACTGTAAAGTCTAAAGCAACACCTAAAAGAACATATGAGTTACAGCAAGTGGTGGAGAAAATGAAATCACAAATGCTCAGTTCATCTAAAAGAAGACAGAAAAAGGGAGTCCATAGAACAGATGAAACAAATAGAAAAATTGTAAGATGGTAGATTTAAACACAACCACATCAATAATTACATTAAATGTAAATGGTCTAAACACCTCAATTAAAAGTCACAGACTGTCAGATGCAATAAATAAATAAGACCCCACTATACACTGTCTATACGAAAACAACTTTAAATATAGACACAAGTGGGTTAAAAGTAAAAATACGGAAAATTATAAACTACGCTAACACTAATCAAATGAAAGCTGGAGTAGCTATATTAATTTCAGAGAAAGTAGATTTTAGAACAAAGAATAATATTCTTTGGGTCATTTCATAATGATAAAGGAGTCAATTCATCAAGAGACATTTCACCAAAGATGACATACAAATGACAACACATGAAAAGATGCTCAACATCATCGGTCACTGGAGAAATGAGTGAACGACTGACATATACTGCATAATTTCATTTATATAAAACACCAGAAAAATGCAAATAGTCTACAGTGAGAAACGGAAAGAAGGAATAATTACCAAGGGGTAGGAGGAAACTCTTGTTCATTATCTTAATTGTGGTGAAGGTTTTGCCAGTGTTTACATATGTCAAAACTCACCAAATTGAACACTTTCAATATCTGCAGTTTACTGAATGTCAGTTATTCCTCACTAAAGCTATTGTTTAAAAAAAAAAAAGAAAAAAAGAACTACTGTGTGGGAGGCAGGGATTAGCCCAGCTCTAAATAGCAGGTATAGGTAGAATGTGCCTACCCCTAAGCCTTTGTGGTTGGCCCTATAGGAAGCTCCACAGAAAACATATTGGAATAAAAATGGGAGTTGTTAAATATCTAAATCTCTTAAATACCAGTAAGTTCATGGTCTTGCAAGCAGACTTCCCAGTCACATGCTAGGGTCTGTGTGCAACACAAGGCAAATCAAAAGGCTGGCCATGCACATCGTGACAAGAGGCAGTAACCAATGTGTTCTTACCTTTAGTGCCTTCTGTCCAAGTTGCCTGTTTCAGGAGATTTCCAGATAGAGGATTCCTGGGAAAGGCAGCATGGCACAGTGGAGAGAACATCAAACCTGGCTATAATCCAGGTTGCCACAAACAGGATGTGTGCCCTTGGCCAAATCACTTCCCCTCTCTGGACCTCAATTCCCACAATTATAAGACGGGGTGGGGTGGCTGGGTTAAATGATTCCTAGGCGGTCCTAAGAGTCTCCAGGACTCAACATTCCAGAGTTTTCTATCCTATTCTCACTTAGTGAAATGGAAATCTTAATCTCTGCGCAACACTTCCTGTTCAGCAGAGGGGGAGAGAGACAAGAAAGGAAGAGGACAGTGGTGAGGACGATGGTGACAGTGGTGATGGTGGGGACAAAGCCATGTCGGTGCTGGCTGCAGCTGCCGTGAGCATGTAGTAATGTGTGCCAGGCATGCTCTTAATGTTTGTATGTATTAGGGGCGCCTGGGTGGCTCGGATGGTTAAGTATCTGCCTTCGGCTCAGGTCATGATCTCCAGGGTCCTGGGATCGAGCCCCATGTCAGGCTACCAGTTCATCAGGGAGCCTGCTTCTCCCTCTGCCTCTGCCTCTCCCCCTGCTTGTGCTCTCTCTGCCTCTCTCTCTCTCAAATGAATAAAAAAAATCTTTAAAAAAAAAGTTTTGTATGTATTAATTCATTTAATCTTCATAACATCCCCATCTGGTAGACATTATTCTCCCCGCAGAGGAATGAGAAACATTCCTAAAGTCTCCCAGCTGGTAAGTGACAGACCCAGGACTCAAACCCAGGAAGCGTGATTCTGGAGCCTGACCTCCCAGCACACAACTATTCCTGAGTCAGCACGTGTTCCCGTTTCATCAAACTCTCATGAGAAGCCACTAGAAAAGTAGATTTGTTCATAGGTGAAGGTACGGAAGTTCATATGGGTTCAGTGATTTGCCAAAGGTTAAAACTCACATTTTCCTAAGTGTAAAGCCAGAATGTATGGTCCCGCGGCCAGTCTGGCCTTCTGGCCATGAGACCTCGCTCCATATGGCTTGGTGGTTCCACTATTTTGGAGTCAAGTGACAAGGATTAGGTCTGGCTTCACTACCAACCCCCCATGTGACCTAGGACAGGGGACCCAACTTAAGTCCATTCCTTCCTCTGCCACACAGGGATAATAGTACCTATTCCACTGTGCTGCCATGAGGATATTTTAGGCAATAAATGTCGAGTACTGGGCCCAAAGTGACAGCTCACCAAGCACCCAACAGAAGCTGCTGCATGAGGAGAGCAGGGCAGAGAGGCAGAGGCAGGGCTCCTTCCCTGAGCAAGCGTATGAGCGCCCAGCTGCCCACGTGTGAGGTGGAGAGCGGATTAAGTCCACCAGCATCCCCAAACTGAAAGGGATTCAGCATCTCAAAGGGCATTCTGGGGAATACTGATCCCAGGGCACACACCAGAGATGCCACCCATTCGAGCCTCCTCCTCAGGATTGACAGCACGTGTGGCAGCAGAAGGCTCGGAGAACTCTCATGGAAAAGAACACCTGAAATGTAAGGTTTCTCAAACACATTTGACCATGGAACCCCTTTTGGCCTAAGAGCTATTTGCATGCAGCCCAAGCAGGACAGTTGGAACACAGCTTGAGAAGCCCACATCTAATTTAATCCCTTTGTTGGCACAAGAGAACAGGGCACCATGAGGGAAGGTGGCAGAGCCCATGGCAGAACCCCTCGTTCTGTTTTGCAGTAGCCAGTCTGCAAACCTTTGCCTGGGTGGTGACGGCAATCACTTAACCTCCCAGGCCTCGGTTGCCTCATCTGAGAAATGGCCAGTCTGCAAACCTTTGCCTGGGTGGTGACGGCAATCACTTAACCTCCCAGGCCTCGGTTGCCTCATCTGAGAAATGGCCAGTCTGCAAACCTTTGCCTGGGTGGTGACGGCAATCACTTAACCTCCCAGGCCTCGGTTGCCTCATCTGAGAAATGGCCAGTCTGCAAACCTTTGCCTGGGTGGTGACGGCAATCACTTAACCTCCCAGGCCTCGGTTGCCTCATCTGAGAAATGGCCAGTCTGCAAACCTTTGCCTGGGTGGTGACGGCAATCACTTAACCTCCCAGGCCTCGGTTGCCTCATCTGAGAAATGGCCAGTCTGCAAACCTTTGCCTGGGTGGTGACGGCAATCACTTAACCTCCCAGGCCTCGGTTGCCTCATCTGAGAAATGGCCAGTCTGCAAACCTTTGCCTGGGTGGTGACGGCAATCACTTAACCTCCCAGGCCTCGGTTGCCTCATCTGAGAAATGGCCAGTCTGCAAACCTTTGCCTGGGTGGTGACGGCAATCGCTTAACCTCCCAGGCCTCGGTTGCCTCATCTGAGAAATGGCCAGTCTGCAAACCTTTGCCTGGGTGGTGACGGCAATCGCTTAACCTCCCAGGCCTCGGTTGCCTCATCTGAGAAATGGCCAGTCTGCAAACCTTTGCCTGGGTGGTGACGGCAATCGCTTAACCTCCCAGGCCTCGGTTGCCTCATCTGAGAAATGGCCAGTCTGCAAACCTTTGCCTGGGTGATGACGGCAATCGCTTAACCTCCCAGGCCTCGGTTGCCTCATCTGAGAAATGGCAGCATTAAAACCTGCCTCAGCGGTCTGCCATGACATGGGTTGGAGGGCGAGCTGTAGAGTCAGGCTGATGCTGGGTTCGTGGCCAGTTCTGTCACTGGCCAGATGTGGGGCCCGGGAAGTCATGCGGGCCTCTCGGAGCCTCAGTTTACTTGCAAAATGGAAATAATAGCAGCAACTGGCTAAGAGAGATGGCAAGGCTCTTGGAACAGCAAACAGTATAAAATAAGCACTCGGCAGATGATACACATGGGACATGAAAGGACGAAGCCAACTATGATTGTCACCATCATTTCCTTTAAATCCTTTGGTGTCTACCTCTGCCCATTTTCTTGGCTTCCCCGTGTCTCAAACACACCCTCCCACATTCCAACATATTACTGCCCAATCCCATCTCTAAAACATTCTGGAACAACGACATGACAGATATCACTGGCCCCACAGGCAGGGCAAGAAATAAACCAGGATCCCTTTAGTGGAGGGACAGAGTCACCCAAGAAAGGAGGAAGGTGGCCCCCTTCCTGGAATTCTCTGGCTGCACACTCTTCAGCTTACACTCGACTCCTGAGCATTTTAGTAACTTCCAACAGAGACGTGTACCTTTTTCCTAATGCCGTGACCATGGCCTCAAAGGAACTGTCGTATCTGAGCAAAGGGAGGCTGTGTCCCGAAAGGGTGGACTCAATGAACTCTGACAACCCGAAGTACTTCTTATTCTCAGGATATAAGTCCACTCCCTAAAACAGAGAAGAACATCAGTCACACAAACACTGCATTTGCGGGGATGGAGAGATTCACATGCTGGGCACGTAGATGGCTGGCCCAGGCGTCTTGATCTAAATTGTGCTGACATGGGGAGCCTCGATGGCTCAAGTCAGTTAAGCATCCTACTCTTGATCTGGGCTCAGGTCATGATCTCAGGGTCGAGAAATTGAGCCCATGTCAGGCTCCATGCTCATCATGGAGTCTGCTTGAGATTTTCTCTCTCCCTCTTCTCCTCACCCAACTCATGTGCATACACACGCATACACGCGCACATGCTCTCTAATAAATAGAATCTTGTAAATAAAAATAAATTGTGCCGACTCTGCAGTCCTGCAGCTGACGTTTTATATATTACTTCCCTCTGCAGACCCAGAGCACGGAGCACTCTATACTTAAAGGATGGTGCATCCATATCAGTCAAGACTTTTCCATTCATCTGACCCTAGTGTCTCTGCCAAGAAAAACATCAGCCTTGTTTTTTAAATCCACAACTTTCTTGGTTAAAATGGCTTCTTTCCAACAATTTTAAGCTAGTTTTAGGAATAGGCCAATCAACCATCTTGCGTTCAGCTTGCTATTAAAATCAGCAGGAAGAAATGCATTTATCTAATCAATTTCACTCCCATTGACCTAACATTCCTAGCTCAACCCTCCTCTGCCTCATTTTCTCCATTTGTAAATCAGAAATCATCCTAGCCTCTGCCCCCGATAGGAGTTCATACAATAAAGCACTCAGAACAGTGCCTCTCTAGCTCACGAAAGTGCTACAGAAACACTTGGTATTACCACCAATGATTCCAAGTCTGCTGGACTGAAGCCAAGCATCCGTATCTTTGTAGGTCCCTCAGATGAGTCTGGGACACCCCCCAAAAGTCTAGAATTTGAGGTTTGCTTGTTACTTGTATAATTAAGTAGAATCCAACCACCCAGAATTCTCCAATTATTCTCAGAAGCCTCAAATTATCAGCTGTAGCCTTCTATTTTGATGAGAAAAGGCAGGGGATAAACCAAAACCTCACCAGGTTTTATGGAGGTTTGTTCCATTTGAGGAAGGGGATTTTGAGCTTTGCAGCTTAAGGATGTGGGGAGAGGAAAAGCAGGAACCTTTCCAAGGCTTCTAGACTAAACATTACATGTCCTCAGATGGGGAAGATAACTAATGTCCTTTGGGAAAGTGTCTAAAGACCAGAAAGGGTTTAAATCTAACTCTGGGTCACATCAAAGATCCAAGAAACAGGAGACCCTCTTGACCCCCAACTACACCAGTTAATCAAGGTTTTTACTAAACAGAATTTCTCCCGACTCAAGGGTCACGGGGACACCAGGCCTAGCAGCCCCGTGGCACTCACATTACTGTATGATGCAGGCCAGTGGATCTCGTTGTAAGGGCTGATGAGGGTATGCTGCGTCTGCAGCGCATAAGGGAAGGAAGTCACGTGGAGCGTCACGATGTTGGGGGCCTCCTTCACCTCCCTGCAATTGAGCAATCTGTCCACCAATCCCACGGCCGGGTCACTTTGGGAATAGAGATTATGAACGGCGCTACTGAGGGAGGAAAGGGGGCGGGGGAGACACAGTGAGTGGAATGACGCATACTGCTCTGTAATTTTACAAAGATCAAGCAGTTGAATACGTTTCTAACTAGCCCCACCCCTAAATGTGCAAGTAATCAAGGCTTCTGGCTCTGACCAGGAAAATTTAAGAAAAAAAAAAGACCACACTGCAGGCACTTGTCTGGGACTCCCCTGACCCTCGTTGCTCATTAAAAACTTAGCCAGGAACAGTATTTACGGAGGACTGCTTGCGGGGTCCACAATCCACCCACTCCTGTAGAGCAGGGCTTCTCACCCAGGAATGCTCCTTTGGCCCCATCTGAGTGTGTACTTGTCTCCTTAAATTCTTTCCCCTAAATTCCTTCTGACCTGAAACGATCCACAGAGAATATAAAATGGTACATTCCATATTAAATTGAAAAGTACAGGACCAGGAAGGGGAAGCATTTTGGACCAGGGGCCCTGGATACAAGCGCAGCTCAGCCGTTCCCTGCAGGCCATGGCCTCAGCCTTCTGTCCTAGCCACCCAGCAGAATAGAAAACTCTTCGGCTTTTGGGCGGCAGGCGGCTACTCTGAGAAACCTACCTCCCAAATGAGTATTCACAAGATAGCTCTTTATACAACTCAGGACGTTCAAATACCTCCGAGCCCATGCAGGGACCTTATATCGCATGCCCTGCATATAGGTGATCTCTGAGGTTCTAGCCAGCCCTATGCTTCTGCATCCGTGAGAAATCAAAGCCTTCCTCTGCGATCTGACCCAGGATCTCCCTTCCCTCCTCACCCCTCCCCACCCAGTCAGTGGTAATGTCTAAATGCACAACCCTCGGGCCAGTCTAGGGAGATGACAGATCCTGGTAAATCAGGAATCCTGCCAGACTCCGAGACTGACAGCATCTAAAATGCATCTAGATTTACATTCATTTGAACTGAGTCCATAAAATCGCCCCTAAAGAAGGGTGACACCAGCTGCGACCCTCGGTACTGAAGCCAGTGGGGTCTCCATCAGCAGGGGAGTTATTCCAGTCAGGATCCCCTCCCCGCACCAGGGGGCACCTTGTCGCCAGGTGGGGTACAGAAAAGGAGGCCCTAGTTCTAGGCCGGCTCAGTACTAACACCCTCCTGCCCCCACCCCAGCCCTGTGACCCTGAGCCTTAGATCATGATAGCACCTTTTAGAGGCTCCACTAGATGTCCCCCAAGATAATCTACAGCTCTAAGATTCTGGAATACATCCATGGCATCTGCTTACAAATGCCAAAACCCCAACATCATTCATCTTGTCAAGGCTTGTACCCACAGGCCTGAGTGTCATCCACATATTAATTCAGAGAAGGAACCCGTCAACCCTGCCATATGCCAAAGCCGCTCTCACCTCACGAGATCCCAGTGGGCATGGTCATGGATTAGGACAAAGAGCGTATGTGGGTTCTGAAAGGAGTTTTGCAGAAAGGACTTAAATTTCGTCTGCGCTTCGGCATCAAGTTTCAAAACATACTGTTCGACCCTCTGCTTAGTCATGCGCTCCTTTTCCAAGCCAAGCTCCAGTAAAACCCCTGTAACGTGGTAAAAATACATCACAAGTAATCCATGACAAGTAAAACCCTTGTTACTAGTTTCTCATTCACTCAACAGACACCTGGTGAGCACCTGCTATCTGGCTAGCATTCTGGCCGGCCCCAAAGCTACGGGGATATGTGAGACGTGGGGGAGTCGGGGCACCTGACCCCATGCAAACCGTGGTCACACGTATGTCTGTGCAGGAGTTGGGCGAAGAGGCGGGCCTGTTTCCTATCGAGGTGTATGCACAGTGGCCCACCCAGGGGGTATAGCAAAGCTGGCTTCATGAGGCTGGTGATCCTAGGCTCGGTGTGACCTCCCCGCCATCCCCAGCAAAATCATCTCCCAGCCTGAAGGCCGTGGAGCTGTAGGTTACAGAACCCTAAAACAAATCCTCTGAGTGAAGACATTGACTCTTTGTGTTTTTAATATTTCATCCCCTTGAAAGCACAGGGAAAGTACATGAAGTTGAAGCAGGATATCAACACATGGGTTGTTGACCCGAGTGGGGGAGAGTGGAAATTCAAGTCATGGTTCTTGCTTTAATGGATTATAAAATCTTGGGCAATTTGCTATCTCTGAGCATCTGTTTCATGATCTATAAAATGGGGGTATTAATCCTTGCCCTACCTACTTTAGAGGCAAAGACTGGTATTTCAATTCCAAATCTGAAATTAAGGGAATCAAAGCTTCTCCCACACAGACACCACAACCTGCCCCCCAAATGCCCCTTACCTGAATGCCAGACACGGAACAGGGTCTGCTGATAGGTCACTTCAGAGGGGGGAATACAAATCAGAAAGTCCACCTTCTCAAAGGATCCTAAGTCCAAATTTTGAGTGCTGGAATCCGCAATTGAACACACATGGGAGAGGAGCTTCTGAGCCACGGCCAGCTGGAAGGGCCGGATGTGGTGGGGCTCCAGACTGTAACCTGGAACCAGAGCCCCCATAAAGGTGAGATGCAGAGGGCCAACACCCTGGACGTCTGCTAGGGAATCCAGCAGCAGGGCCCTGCCTAGTGCACAGAGTGACCAAAGGGGGATCACACCAACATTTATCAAGTGCCTACTCTGGGCTATGTACATTTCATACTTTTCAGAATTTAATAATAAAAGGATCAACAGTGCTCAGGGAGCACAGAGGCGGTGACCTTCTCTACCTGAAGGGGACAAAGACAGCATCCCAGGGAAGCAGACCCTGAGACAGGACTTTGGAAGAGGCTGCGAGTTCTCTGGAAGAGAGGGAGACCATCGCAGCTCTTCGGGAACTCGGGATACATAACGTATTTCAATGATGCACTGATAAGGTGGAAATCTACACAGAGAAATATGCCATCTCTGGAAAAGTGTACAAGCATCCATTTCAGGGTAGGATGAGACTACTAGTGTTTTAAAGACTAAAATAAAAATTATTTATCAGTCCACTTTGATGCTCAGAAAATGCCCTGCCTTGCTTCCTCATAGCCCCCCTGGCGCCCCCGGGGTGCTGTCTCGTCAGCCCAGATCCTGGCCGTGGAGTCCCCACATCACTCACTCGTGCATGCCGGAGCTCCGCCAACATCCAGGGATGCTGATTTGGTGACAGGGGAGGCAGTAAGTGAGGACGGAATATGGCCTTGATTTTCCTGATGAAATTTGTCCAGCAAAATGTCAATGTCACCCTCTGCCCAAAACAGAGAGAACAACAGAAATGGGTTTTCCATCCCAGTAAAACTCAGCAAACCTCCATGCAACACCTGCGTATGAGGCACTGTCCCGGGACTGGGGTAATGGAAATAGAGAAGACGTGGCCCATCCAGTCGAGGAGCCCATAGCCTAGTATCGAAGGCGATTATGTCAGAGAAAATTGCACTGTGAGGTGGTAGGTGCCAGGACAGAAGGAAGAGCCAGGTGCTGAAGGACAGGAGGAAGGGGTCCGAGCCCATCCTAGAGAAGGAGGGATCAGCAGAAGTTTCTGGGAGGAAATGGGGTGAGGAGCCAGGCAAAGAAGGGAGGAAGGCACAGAATTCACAGCATAGAACACATAGACTCAAGAAATTCAGAGGGGGAGGTAGGGAGCCACAGTGCACAGGGCTGGAGAGGTACAGGAGAACAGGCACAGGACCCTCGTGTGCCCCAAAAACCAGGAACCCCAAGCCCCCCCCCCCACACCTAGAAGAACCCAGTCAGTGCAGGAAGATGGCCAGCCAGAGACCACCACAGAAGGGGTCGTAAATGCTAACACGGAGAATGAAGGGGTCACCCTGCACATCCAAACCAAGGCCGGCCTCAGCAGGTCCTAGGGAACGGGCTCCGAGAGGACCACCCCTCCCACTTGTGAACTTACACCTGTCTCACTACAAGCCTACCTGGACAGAGGGTGCTAAAAAAGGCCCCCAAGGAGTCCACTTTCCCCGTAACCAGCTCATAATTGACTTCTTTCTGGTACTCCGCTGGGGTGAGAAGGCTCTCGGAAAGAATTCGGGCTTGGTATTTTCCTGGAAGACAAACAACTTTCACTGGGCCCCTCCACTTAGAATTAGCACGTGAGCCCCTTGATGGCAGAGTCTGTGCTCACCGCTCTCTTTCTCTTTCTCTCCCTATCCCCAGACAATAGCCTAGTCCCATCCTCTGCCCTGGTCTCCTGATTCCCTACAACGTGGGAGGCACAGAGTGCAGCCACGTGGTCTTGCGGAGCCCCACAGCTGTCCCCAGTGGCAACATCGCCTGCCTCCTCATTTCTCTCAGGCCCCTGCTCCAACGTCACCTCTGTCGATAGGTTCTCCTGACTCCTCTTAATAGCCAGCTTCCCAAATGGGATCCTCCATCCCCTGGCCCTTCCACCCGAGATGTTCTGCGCTGTGTCTGGCGTCTGCCTCCCCCGCCAGAATGTCTGCTCCAGGGAAGCAGGGACCTCGTTGTCTTCGTGCCTGTGTCCCCAGCGCTTAGAACAGCGGCTGCACATAGTAGGGCTTCAATAAGTACTCGTATAATTTATTAGTTAATTGAGTTAATTGACTCATTAATCTACATCATACAAGATCGCTGTTGTTGCTGTTGTGCATTAGCTAGTTCAAGCAACGGAGGGCCACAGTCAGGGAGGGACCAGTCACATCACCAGGTGCATGGAGCCGGGCTTTCCACCCCGTCTGTCCGGGCTCCAGAGCTGCCCAGGCTCTCTAGGGGGAAACGGGGATGCTCACCCTCCACTCGGAGGAGGAACGAATCCTAACTCGGCACGCTAGCCGGCGCGCGCCCCTCGCACCAGGAGGGCACTAACCGCAGTCCCTAACCGACTGCTGCTACAAACCCCAGCACAAGAGGCAAAGTGCGCGGATCTGCAAGGGAAGAGGACACAGCTGCTCTTCCCGCAGCCGCCACGCTCGGGCGCGGGGCTCACCGGTGACCGCGACGCAGGAGTCGATGGCGGGGCTGCGGCAGGCGCGGACGATCACCACGTAGTGGGTCTTGGCGAGCTTGCCCTCGATGAGCAGCCGGAACATCTCCGAGAGGCCCTCGGCCAGGGAGTAGGTGCACTCGATGATGTGCACGCTGTTGTTGCCGGAGCTAGCGGCCAGGCCGGCCAGCCAGGGCAGCTGCGCCGAGCTGACCGGGGCCGCGGCACCGGCCGTGGGCGGGCAGCGCTGCGGCTGCACCTGCTGGGACTGCCGGATCTCGGTCAGGTGCGACTCGCGCCACGAGCGCAGGAAGATCTGCTCCAGGTCCTCCATCAGGGGCACCTGGTCGGCTGCTGGCAACGACAAGACGGCCCGAGAGGCTTCAGCGCCCGCCCACGAACCCGGAGCGCGGGCCTGGGGAGATGCGTGCGGGCGGGCTCGGCTGTAACCCAACACGCGTCACTCGGGCTCCACCGTCTTACAGAGGCCGGGAGGCTGGGACGCGAGCACCGGGAGGGCACGCGAGCAGCCACGCGCTCCCCAGCCTAACCACGCCACAGCTCGTCCTGCCCGTCTCTCAGTCTGGTTTTCAGCGACAGGTTCTAAATCGCTCTAAGGACTGAAGCCTCCGACTTCAGGGCTTGTCTCGTTCCCCGCCCCTGTGCGCAGAGCCGGGTGTCACGCTGTCTGCGGTCTCCGGAACCAGCACTGTCGCTGGGCACACCGGGTCCCTTCGAGCGATTCACCGCCACTTACTCAGCAGTGTCTCCACTGTTGATCCTTCTATTGCTTCCAAATAACCACTCTGCTATAAAATACCTCCACAACACACATCTTCAGGGATGGACCCTACTAACTTCCTAAATTCTCAAAACCGGGCTTCTAGAGCCAGCTAGTACACATGATCGGGCTCTTTCCAGGTGGTCCAAGTGTGCCAACCCACCGTGATGTTAAGGGCGGTGAGGACACTGGGTTTACTGCACCCTTAGATCCACTCGATACCATCGCTGGTGTTAATTTCACTGAAAAACATTACTTGATTTGTTCCTTTGTGCCTCTCAGATGCCTAGTGAGACTGAATACTTTAGCATTTCTTTCCTATAGACATTTTCTGGTGCATTTGTCCAAATTTTGTACCTGGGTGAGCTGGAGGAAAGAGCACCCCACTTCAATTCAGAAGACGTGCTCCCTCCCAGCTCTACCCAGCACCAGCTCAGACCGAGAGCTAGCTATCCTAGGATACTGGTTCCTGACCTGAACGACGGGGATCACACCACCCCCTCATCTGGCTAAGCCATGATTTTATTAGATTAGCTGTTAGACCTCCCATCTCTAAAATCTTGCCCCTGAGCCCACACCCCCTTGTGGAATCACTGTCACCAAGCAAAGCTCTTGGGAGAGTTGTCTACCCTCACCACGCCTGTTTCCTCACCTCCTGTCTCCAACCCCCCACAGCACACGCACAGCTTCTGTCCCCATACTCCTCGTACACACTCATCATCAGGGGGGCCAATCGCTTCCAGACACCCAAACCCAATGGCCAATAATGAGCCCTCACTCCGCTCCTGGCCTCACTGACTCAGGGGGCTGGTCCCTCTCCTGAAATGCTTTCACGGGATTCTGCGTCCGTGTCTACTGTTCCTTCAACACGTGCTGAGAGCCAACTTTGCATGGCTGGTACTGCTGGACACACAGACGAGAACGAAATCAACCATCCTGATCTCACAGCACTTACATCCTAAGTGGGGGACATGCACCTACAGTAAACAAATACACATGGCATGTAATTTCTGGGGGTGCTAGTGCTCTAAACACAAGATAAACAGTAGACAGAGCCATGGGGGCCTGGGGAGGGGGCGCTGTCTTAGATACGGTGACGAGAAGGCCTCTCTAGATGACATACGAACCAAAACTCGGAGGCCATGAAGCAGTAGTCGTGCAAATGTCCTGGGCAGGCGCGTTTCTCGGCAAAGGAACAGCCAGAGCAGGGGAAACTGGTATGCCTGGGGGGACAGCAGGGCTGGAGGGACTGCGGGAGGCAGGCCGGTCACGTGGCCCCTGGAACCAGCGTGGGTTGAGTGTGTGATAGGAAAGCTCGGCAGGCTCCAGCAGAGAACAGATACGATCAGACTCACAATTGTAACAGACGTGATAAGAGCAGCTCCCTGGCAAGGAAGGCCTGATGGGGACGGTGGACAAGGGTGGGTCTGGGACGAAGCAGGGCTTACTGATGCATGAACTGTGGATCATGAGGAAGAGCAAGACACACGCCATGTTCTCCCAGAATCCTGACCATTCCAGGCAACATTCTCAAGGTTCTGCCCAACCGCGTGCCTCCCCAGCTCTTCAGCCACCTCCTCCTCCAGATCTCTGACTGCTGGGGTGCCCCGAAGCTCAAACATCGGCACCTTTCTCCCAGGGGCTCTTTTCCAGTCTCCCAGCTTCAGTGCAGATCATCACTGGGCCAGTGTTCCCCAAACTGACACCTGTAGCTGTACCTTCTCCCTGGGGCTCAAGTCCTGTCCAGCCAAATCCTGCAACTCGCCCCTCGGCAGCCTCACAGGCATCTCAAACTCGAAATGCCTGTTCACCCTCTGGCTCCACCATCCACCTGGGGACTCAGGGCAGAACCCAGGCTGCACCGTTCCTTCCCTTCCCTCAGACAGACGGCCTACCGCCCTTACAGCTTCAGAAAAGAATCCAGCACCACCCTCCCGTGACCCTTAGTGGTCAAAGCCACCTCCCACTTCCACTGGGACAACACAGCCCCTGCACCACCCAGCCCCACGCAGCAGCCGCTGTGGTCTTCTGGAAGTGAAGGTCAGATCATATGCATTCCAGAGGTGCTGCAGATTGAACTGTGTTCCCCCTCCCCAATTCCTATGTGGATGCCATAACCCTCATTGTGACTGTCTTTGGAGATAAGGCCTTTAAAGAAGGACTGACGTTAAGTGAGGTCATAGGGTGAGGCCCTGGTCCAGTGGGACCGGTGGTGGTATGAATAGAGACACCGGAACCCTCTGAACCTCTCCCCACGCTCATGTGCCCAGGAAGGGCCCAGGGGCACACAGAGGAGGTGCCGTCTGCAAGCCAGGAAGGGAAGCCTCCCCAGAACCCGACCGTCTGGCACCCTGAATGTTGGGCATCCAGCCTCCAGACCCTGAAGCATAAATGTCTGCCGTTTAAGCCCCCAGGCTGAGGCACTCTGCTAGGGCAGCCAGAGCTGACGGACGCGGAGCTGTCTGTCAGTGTGTCTAAAGTGCAAACTCTTGGCCGTACCCCGAGGCCCTGCCCCTCCGCCGGCACCCCCTCCCCCACTGTGCTACAGCCACCAGGCCTGGCCCGCAGCCCTCACGGGCCTCTCCCTCGCCTCCCCCACCTCCTCACGGGTCCCTCTGGGCCCCCTTCCCCCTCGGGCCCCTTGAACACCATCTCGTCACAGAGGCCTTTCTCCGTGACGCTGAGCCAATCCCCCCACACACACAGCTCCCTCTCCCTGCTCACACACTCTGCCTGTTTACGGCTCCTCTCCCACTAGAATATACTCTCTTGAGGGCAGAGCCTTTGTTTTATTCCCTGATCCCTCTGCGCATCTGAATTGGCAGGTGCATGGTTTTTGGATTATCTCCAGAGGTTCTGACCCACTTTAAGCCCTGCCCAGGCCCTCCGGGCGCTGACCTGACTGCAGCATCAGCACGTTCCCCGGGCTTCCATCCCCACGGGCCCCGTGGCTTCACAAGGGCTCCGGGTGACAGGCCACGATCAGCTTCTGCATTTCCCACTCCGCTGATTAGCGTACCAGCGACTCCCGCGCAATGGGAGGGAGACTCACCCAGCTGCACGAGATAGTAGACGGTGAGCAGGAGTTGTGTCTCCTCTGAGATGGGCTGTATGGTGGAGGCCCCATACTGCTCATATGCCCGAGAGATGGACTGCGAGTTCTGGTAGCATGCGTACAGGAGGGGGCTCACGACCACATCGTTCAGGTTCCCGCAGAGGTAAGGGAAGTTCCCGTGGCCTGCAGAAGGAGAAGCCGCGTCCGCTCGACAGCTGGCAGTGGGCACAGCATGTGGCATCTCCAAACACAAGGGGGCCAAAGCGTGTAGGCCAGATGCCGCTGGGGTAACTCTCGTGCCCCGTTTTGGGGAGACCTCGGACTTCCGGCCCTTGCTGAGCTGGCGCAGCGGCTCGGATAACGGACCAGGGCTGTGGCATATGTTCACTGCCTTATCTCACACGTGAGCGGCCCAGAGGGACAGGCCTGTGGCGGAAGCGTCACCCCGGGCCGCTCCTCAGCACGGACAACAGAACGCTTCATGGAAGCAGCACCTTCTGGCTCTCTGCTGACTGCCTGCCAACCAGCCACCCCCCACCGCCCCGACTCCCCGACGTGGGATGCTGATTCCCATCCTCCCGGGGCTCTTGAGCAAGCTGGGTTAGGAAAATAAATCACTGTACAGGCCAGAGGCTCCAGGCCCTGACAGAACTTGACCAACACTTTAGCGCACGTTATAGATTCATTCTGATGACAACCCCCAGAGGCGGAAGAGCCCGGCTGGGTTGGACTCTCCTCCGCACTGTGCACCAGCTGGGGGGGGGGGGGGGCCCTGGGCAGGAAGTCTGACATCGCTAAGCCTCAGTCTCCACATCTGTACAATGGGGTGAACACACGCAGTCCCCGTGGGGCTGCTGAGATGATCAGATGTGCTAAATGCGTGTGTGCTGTCCTGAACTCAGGCGGTCTACACTTACGCACCAAACACACACTTATTGAACGCCCGCTGTATGCTACGTGCGGGCATCGTGCTTGGCTCCAGGGAGAATCTGATGACTGAGACAGTTCACACCCTCAAGGAATTGCTTCTCAAACCTGCGGGTGCATGAGGATCCCCTGAAAGGCAGCCTAAGACACAGAGTGCTGGACCCTACCATACAGCTTAGGATTCAGGAATGGGGCCTGACTGTGATTCTGGGATGCTCCTGGGAGTTCACGCCTCTAATAGGTCCTGGCGGGGGGGGGGGGGGGGGGGCTGGTTCTCTGGACCAGGGACCACAAAGGGGGTGCCACTGCTCACCAACATTATGATTCAAGCTGTATGGGGGCCCAGGTGAAAAAGAAACTAAGGCAGTCTCACAGAGAAGGCACGGGGGTGGATCTTAAAGCACAGGTGGGGTTTGGGCATGTGGTGGGTGGGGGCGGGAGGGGAGAGCCAGGGAGGCAAGGATGTTACAAAGAGCTCATGGCTCAAACAGAGCAGTTGCGCCAGGAAGTGCAGTGAACTTGAGGAACAAGGAGGATGGTCTCCATCTGAGGTCGTTAGCCATTAGACACAGGTCTGCTGGAGCCTCACCCCGACTTTCCTGGGGCTTCTGGCTCGGGGGAGGTGCAGGTGCAGGTCCTGCCCATATCACCGTGCTCTGTTTTCCCATCACTGTGTTCTCAGGGCCTACCACGTACAGGAGATGGCCATGCGAAGAACATAGGTAATGCTGCTGCATGCTGACCTCCACCTTAATCAGCTAATAGGGCCCAATGGGATATTGGCCCTGTCTCATGCCCAGTCCAAAACCCAGATTTGCACCCTTATTCCTAAATACCCTGTCCACTTTTGGTTTTTTAGGAAAAAGGAGTGCCTCTGTTAGTTCTTAACTGCCTGTAAGATCTCTCTCCCACTCTCCCACCACCCTCTCTCCTCTCTTCCTACAAATACGATACCAAATACAGTATTAACTTAATTAAGGATCGGAATGCACGCGTGTGTGTTATCATAGGCCAGCATGAGGGACCAGCGAAACCATCATCAAACAAGTCCCACCCAAGCTTCACATTTCAAGATCTCCTGCTTCACTGGAGAGGGACTTCCTTAGCTGAGCAAAACATCTACCTCCACGCAGCATACGATGGACGCCAACTGTCACAAAACAGATCGAATCTAGTTTTCTTTTATGCTTCCACAGGGTGAACATAGACATTCCTTTCCCAAAGTCAGATTTCATAGTCAAAATATACCAGTGGCCCAGGGTGACAACAGGACCATCCGCCCGACCAGGGGTCCTTGAAGCAGGGGGCTGATGGATCCATCTCCGATCCCTGGTGCTTCGTACTGGGCCTGTTCATGGGGCAGCAGCTCATGAGGTTGAATGAATGAACGCGTGAATGAACGAACAGATGGACATCGTGGAACCGAATCATTTCTCCCGGGCTCGTTGTGGAAAACCGTGACCAGCTCTAGAACTCTCGGCATCTGATCAGGGGCTACGCTAGTGACTGGTCTGCTTTGTTCTTTCATTGCCCTGGGCGGGGTCTTAGAGCTTTCTCAGGAGGACACCCCTGGCCTCAGCCTGTTGCCTATTCCTTGCGGACTCCTCCAGGCTCCCCGACCTCCACCACTTGTCCCACTGCTATACTTGCCTTTAAATATCACCGGCTTGGCCTTGCATATTTTCAGCAAGTTGTCAGGAACGGACACCGGCTCTCCGGAGGCCATGACAGGAAACGTGACCGAAGCTGGTCCCACCAAGCCAACCTGGGGCACGCAGGACATGCTTGCACTCTCTAGAAACACGCCAAGAATGTTAGGAAGATGCGTGGGACGGGCCTCCCTCTCTGGCAGACCCGACGTCAGGCCGGCCTGCACATCTGCTGCAGCCTGATGTTTACTCCTACTTAGGGGAACACCTGAGTCCTGGAATCACAGATTCCTGAGGTCAAAGCATCTTTAAGGTCGCTTGATCCAACCTTCCCCACCAAACATCAGTCTCCTCTTCAATCTCTCTGCCACGTGACAGGCAAGCCCCTTTTAAATTTCTTCAGGGTCAAGGAGCTAGCTTACTGCTGTACAAGGACCCTGGGCTCTGCTGTGCAGCTCCAACATATGAGAGACCCTTCGGTCATACCCAAGTCTGCCCCCTAGAACATCCTCGCCAATTCACACAAATTCACACGGTGTGCACGTGCACACGCCCACCCCGGGCCTCAGCACCAGCACCACCACCAGCCCCCGAGTCTTGGATTTTTGGCAAGGTCGCTGTCACTTACCATACTTAGCTCTGTTCCCACCACCCTGGGAGTAGCCACCATCTGCAGCTGATGGAGATTCTGGAGACCACCCTTTGTGGCGTTTTTTGGGGGGCCCGGAGTTTGATAAGATACCTAGACAACATTCAGAGTACAGATTAGGCTGTCACTAAGGACGAGTTTCAAAACATTCCCCTGATTTGGAGAACACCTGCAATTTTTAAACATCAGAGCTTTACAATGGTTCTTAGCTGTTTTAGTGAAGCATCTGGGCGTGAGGAAACATCCTGTCCCTTTCAGTAAACATTTCATTCCAAACCACCCAAGTGCTGAGCATTATCTCTGAGCCTCGGCACCCTATTCTTTAAAATGGGATCATAAACCTGACCGTGAAAGGTGGTTTGATAAAGACTAAAGAGCATGCACATAAAGCACAGAGTCTGGGCCCACTGACTGGCAGCCCCCAAGATCACATCCTCCTCCTGGTCCTCCTCTGAACATTCCAGTAAGAGGATGCGTTTCTGCAAACCAACCACTGAATCCACCATCACAGCTTCACCACTGGGGGGCAGTACTGCTCCATCTGTGCTCGACTCCCACCCTAGCCTTGACCGCTAGCCTCAGACCAAAAAAATCAAGGGGAACAGAAGCTGGTGCTCGGTGCTCGCTGCTGCTGTCGAGTCATTTCTGCCCACTCTAGATAACAGCATGTGCGTGACTCGTGCTTGATGTTCAAAACATCAAGGATCGGTTACCATATTTTTTTTATCAATCCGACAAAATTTCCCCGACGTTTAGAGCTATACGTTCAACTATGACTGCATGATAAACTCACCTGGGAAAGCTTTAAATCTCTCCGTGCATGGACGCAAGCCTATCTATCCCAAGTAGACCAAAACCCAGCACCTGGGGGAGCCCGGGCATCGTGAGGGCCCCGAGCTCCCTGGTGACTCTAACTCACAACCGGGGTTGAAAACCATAGTTTAGAGCAACGTTTCTGTAAATGTGGTCTGAGAAGGAGCTGGACGGAAGCAGCAGAGGCTCATTAAAACTGCCCGCTCCTGGGCCCTGCCTTGACCTATAGAACCGGATCTCTGGAAACAAGAGGGAGAAAACTGCCACTACTCCTGGGCGCCCTGGCTATGCCTGAGTGCTCTGCGGTTTGAGGGTTATTGCTCTAGAGTCTCTTCAAGGTAATAAAGTTATTCTCACCTCTTCCTTAGACTGATCAGAAAAGAATAAAGTGAATAAAAAGTTAAAATACAAGGTATTTTGTTTACACAGAGCTTTCAAGCAGGTGGGCTCCGTCGACCACCCCCCATCGGCAATGCGGGAGGCAGCTACGATCACGGCCGTTCTGTTCAGACCACAGCTTCTACTGCCCGAACATCCATCCTCCAGTGCCAACAGAAGCCCTCCCACAGGCATGAAGATGCCAGCGCCCCGAAAACCACATTAAACTACCAAGGAGGCGCTGGGCCTCGACACTAAGGACGGAAGGTCTACACATATTTTCCCCTTTGGGACACAAGTTCTAGCCGCCCCTAGTGTGGACTCAGCTCATCAACTCTGCCAAAGTGACAGCCCCAGGAGCTGTCCCTGCGCTCCCAATGTGGACCATTTCTCGCGGTGGCTCCCGGTACTGGGGAGGGGGTCACTACTTGGCACTCTGGGTGAGCAGTTCTTCATTATGCAGACCACTCACTGCAGGACACGGAGCACCCGGACCCCCAGTGTTGGGACCACCAAGGAAGGATCCTGGGCACCTGCTAACAGCCCCCACCAGGGGGCAGTACCTCTCCGCTGAGAACCACTGAGCCACAGCCCTCAAGCCCATATTCAAGACCTCTTGTAGTTTCAGAAACAGTTTCTTAAACCTGATTTCCTCTCTCCCCAGAGCGGGCGGGAAGGCCCAGGACCTGTGACATTTTGGCTATGCTGTTAAAACAACTCCATTCAGTCAGCATCCACGGCAGCCGGGCGCCAAGGGCCCCGAGATGGGGAGGACACCGACGCTGCTCTCGGGAACTTCACTACCTGCAGGATACACATGGCCGGGCAAGGGAGACAGACACCTGGGGCATCCCAGAGAGGGAGGGAGCCCTCCTGCAGGAGGGGACACCTGAGCTACGTCCTGAAAGGCACGGTTAGCTGCGGTTAGTCGCGGGGTGGGGAGAATGCTTAGAGATCATGATGTATGGCCAGGGGGTAGAGACAGGACGGGGAGGGCACTGAACCCTCCCACACAGCCCGAGTGTGGAGGTCTTGAGCAGAAACAGCAGGGAATGAATGAGGGTCTACAGGTTGGTTGGGGCCAGATTCCAGCAGGGCTGGAGTGCTGCTAGGGACCTGGGGGCTTTCTCCTTCCCACACCGCTCCTCATTCACCAGAGCAAGGCCCTCGTCCCCTGCTGCTTGGGTGAAGGTTGGGCAGGGCAGGTGTCACAGGTCAGGTCTGCCGTCACAGTCCCAGAGGCTTGGTCCTTGGCCACCCTAAATTCAGCACCTCACAGTCACAGGAAGAAAAGTGGGGGCCTGCCTGGGGCTCCTTCTGCAGGAGGAGGGACAAAGGCTTGACCTTGGATTCCATGCTGGTTAGGACTGGGGAGTCTCAGGTCCAATTCAGAAAAGACACTGGTCCTTCAACTAAGAGGGAGACTCCCACCAGGCCACGTAACGGAAGCAGGGCGAGCCTGGGCTGCCTCTCTGGGCCTCACGTTCCTCTCCTACCAGAGTGTGGGGCTGGACAGTTGCTACGGGCACTGCCAGTGGATAGTCTTGGATCCCCAAATCCACTTAGCTGTGTGCATGGAGGAGGAGAGAGGGAAGCCTGGCTCACTAAACGGCTCCCGCGAGCATGGAGGGGCAAGCACAGAGCCCAGAGTCAGACTCCATGGCCCCAGCTCTAGCAGAAGGTCTGCTTAACCCCTTCGTTCACCTCCTCATCCTCTCCCACGCTCCCTCCCTTACCATCTCGCTTGCTTCCCCAACTGTAAGTAGTAGCTCAGCTGTCCTCCTCCAGGAAGCCCTCCAGAGGTGCCCTGAATTTCCATACAGCCCCTCATCTGACCCTCTCAGCTGCCCTAAGAGCACAATTCTTATCTCCAGATGAGGCAACGATTTGTCAGAATGCTTGTCCAAGATCCCCCAACTAATAAGAGACATGGTTGAGTTTCGATTTCACATGTATCTGATTTGGGAGCCCACATTCTTCCCTTGACACCACGCTGCCCCCTATTTCTCCAGAACTCTACAGCCCTCCTGATGCGTAGCCCACAGGCGACCGGCCGCCCATGCTTCCTGGCGTACACCCATCACCCAAGTCGGTGGCCGAAGCTGCGGTCCCACCCAGCACTGGGGCCTGGATGGCCTCCAAGACTCGGGAGGCACCTGCTGGCTGGTCCTGACTCGCCCTCTGTGCCACACCAACTCCAGGAGGCGCCATGGCCCCAGCACGGTGGCTCCCGCAACCCCCACAACAGCCTGGCCCGGAGGAAAACGCGACCCCCCTGGACAGGCAATGGCACCTAGCGCCGAGGGCCGCGGCATGGCCGACAGGTCGTTCTTCACCAGCTGTTGGTGCTTCGGGGAATCTCTGCCGTTGAGAACAGCTGGACCCACGGCTGCCGTTAGCGAGGGGTGCTCAGAGGCTGGTCCTGGCAGCAGAGAGAGAGAAGGGGGGGCGCAAAGTCAGTTCACAGGACGCTCCGTGAGCCCAGCTAGCAGGAAATTACTTTTCTTCCATTTTTATAAACGTGCTTTACGCCAAGAAGTGATTCTGCCTGCTGAGAACACACAAACACACGCACACACACTCCTGTTCCAATGAGCACGGCCTGGGTGAAAGCAGGACCAGGGAGACCTGAGGAGCCAGGGGGGCCCCTGAATCCCAGGGGTGCACGCAAGGCTCTTCCGCCTTCCTCCCCCTCACCCTCCCAGCTCAGGCTTGTACCGAACATGCTCAGGAAACCTGTCAGGCTTGTAGTCACCCAGCTCCAGGCTGCTCACGGGGCCTGGGGCTCCCCGGGCCTGAGGATAATGCTGGGGGAAGCTGGGGGTACTGCTCTTCTGAGCAGTAAGACTCTCACTGCACTGCTTAAATGCCCACGTCAGCCAGAATGGTCTAGAAGGCACTCCAGAGTCGGGGGTAGCACAAAACGTTTCCTGTGGGTGAGGTGGCAGTGATGAGGGGGTTCAGAGCATGGTTCTGAAGCCAGCTGCCCTGTGAATCATGCTGATCAGACCACACCACCACCAAGGGGATCACTGTCCGTAGCCAACAGGACCGAAGGACATCTTTCCAAATGAAAAACAAAGCACGCTGTGCCGGAAACTACTACAAATTCAAGATGAAACACAAAGGCACTTTGGGAAAGAAGACAAAGCACGCCTCTTATTTATCTTGAAGAATGTGTGGCTGCCTCATCGAGCCGCCATGCCGGGGACACACCGGGGACATGCGGGGGACACGCCAGGCCCACGGATCCAGCACCTCTGGCACTTCGCCGCCCACCACTCACCTGCAGGCTGGGCTCCCATTGGGATGCTCGGCGTCGGTCCAGGAACGGGCTCACTGGAGAAGGCAGCCAGAGGCCCAGAGCTCTCCGCGGGCGGGAAGAGGGAACTCGAGCAAGTACTGGCCAAGGTCTGCCGGCTTCTGAACTCTAAGGGGGCAAGATGCACGGGTGAAAACCAATTCCCCACCGGTTCTGAAATGCTTTCTAGACTGGAGTTTGTCCCACAAGAGAGCTAGATACCTAGATAACTCAAGTGGTGCCAACACCTTCCTAGCTTTGCTTCAGGGGGAGGCAGGGGTGCTCCATGCCAAGGCCAGGGGAATCTGTCTGGGGGACAGCTCTGATTATCAGGAGTGGGAGGCATCGTGAGCATTTGAGATGACACAAATGAGTCACCCCATCGCTGCCCTTCAAGTCCAAGGAAAGAACAGACTATTACTCAGAAGGAGAGGAAAAGCCAACACCCGGCTCCCCCCCACTCCATCCTGAAAGTCACCCTCTGCCGGAAAGATGGACCCCAGCAGTGTGGTGCATCTAGCTGATGAGGAACTTGGTCACAGCAAGCGATCACAGATCACAGACTCTTATCTGGTCCCACAGTGGAAGAACCACTGCCTCCCAGGACCTAGAAAATGACTGACACACAGCAGGAGCTCAAGAAATACTTATCAAGTGATGTTAAGAAGACGAGAGGGGTGGGGAGGAACGCCCAGAGCCAGCTCCTCCTGAAGCCCTTCCTTCTCTTCACAGCAGTTGGCTGGGGGAGGCCAGGCGACCAGAAGTAAGCCAACGCAGACAAGTGAGGGACAAAAGGTTCTCGCAGAGACCCCTCCTGGGACATGTCCCTCCACAACTGGGTGAGGGGGGGTATCTCAGGGACCAGGGACCACCTATGGTTGGGCCTCTGAAAATCCATCCCCCCCACCACCGCCCTCTTCCCTCCATAGATGACTTAGCCATGGGTGATACGGGGAGACAGGAGGGAGGAGAGAAGCCCAAGAACTGGGCTGACCTTTGGCCTGCAATCATGCCTGCAGAGCAGTCTCTCCTCAAAGTCCTACTGCCTGGCACCTGGGCCCGCTTGGAAGACCCCCACCCCTACCCCCTGGTTCACCCACCCAACCTTGCTCAAAGCCCAAGCGCTCACCTGAGCCTTTCCAACAAATGAGAGGTCCTTTGGTGAGAGTCCCTTGTGCATTGCGGACCAGGTAATACTTCAGGTGTTTCTGCTTCTTGGGCTGAGTGGTCAACTTAAGATTTATGTGATTAGAAAATTCTGTGAAGTAACAGAAGCCTTTCTTTCCACAGCCAACACAATTCCCAGAGAAACCTGGGGGAGGAAACAAACCATGAATGTCTCCAACTTACCTTCAATATCCTCTTCAAATAATACAGACCTCATGGAGGGGCGCCTGGGTGGCTCAGACGGTTAAGCGTCTGCCTTCGGCTCAGGTCATGATCCCAGGGTCCTGGGATCGAGCCACACATCGGGCTCCCTGCTGAGCAGGGAGTCTGCTTCTCCCTCTCCCCCTGCTTGTACACTCTGTCCCTCTGTCGAAAATAAATAAAATCTTAAAAAAAAAAAAAAAAAAGGAAACTCTTATCCTCATTCTGTGCCACCAACCAGAAAATTCCACAAGGCAAATGTCCCTGGCACCTTATGCTGGGCCAGGGGTCAGTATGACCTCGACTCAAACAGAAGAAGGACCAAGAAGACTTAGTCATGGACAACTCCCGCCCCCGCCCCGCCCCACCCCAGCAAGCATGGAAGACTGAACTTGCTCCAGGGGCAGATTTTAAAGCCTGTTACACAGAGCAAACTTTACAAGACAAGAACTGTCGTGTTCAACTGTCCACACTGATCAAGTACCTGTAACAAGGTGGTACGTCCCTATCTCCAGTCACAGAATCTCGACCCTAGGATACACTGAGAGACCTCCTGGGAGCCCCAGATCACACCCCGATCCCATGAGTTGCTGAAAAGAAATGAGGAGCTCCACGGTGCAGCCAGAATGGCGGCAAGGGAATGCTGGGGGCCCGGCAGCCAAGGGAGCAGAGACCATCTGCAAGAGCTTGGCCGTCACCGTGCCGGAGTCCCGCTGCTGAGGCCCGAATGGGCCTTCCTGGGGAGGGACTGAGGTTCCCACCAGCTGTGAGGCTCCAGAAAGGCTGCCCCATGACAAAACTACCTCCTATGAACAGTTAAAATCCAGAGAGTACGCATGAAAAGAGCTTTATGAACTATCAAGTCCAATCAAACCATCCTCAGAACCGCTGGCTCACAGAGGAGAAACGGGCTGATTTGCCTTCCCCCCCTACAGCTGCTGGTGTTCACACCCACCATCTCAAGAAAGCCTTCCTTAAGACCTCGCTTCGCCCACTGGTGCGTCTGGTTTCTATGGTACAAAGTCCTTTGGTAGGGGAGCCCCTGAAGCTGAGACTAATCTATTTTGTCATATTCAGGGACTGCAAGTTTACAAAGGTCACTCTGACTTTGCCCAGGAGGGCCATATGGCCATGTGCACAAACTCTGCTTTTTTAAACAGGGTATTCCTGAGGCCTCTGGCTAACGTTCAAAATAACATGTTAGTGAAGGTTCACCACATCTCCACGGGGAAACGAGACATCTACGTTACAGAAACTTACTGGATTTTCTGATCCCTTTTACTCTAAGCAAATTTAATATTCCTTCAAAGGCCTTAGAAAGAAGGACAAGTCTCTTGGTCGAGCCACGGGATGGGTACAGGTTGGTTGAAACCTTCCAGAATCCATTCTCTGTGCACCAGAGCAAAGAGACAAGGCACCAAGAAATGTCAAACACCGTGCTCTCCATTTACTTGTTTTTAAGGGGACAGGAAGGGAATGAACGTGCACAGAGAACCAGGGACGTTCTGGTCATCTGCTGTCCTCTAGACAGGTCACTCAGCTTTACTGGCATAACAACTAGTCAGTCGGGACAGCACAACCTTCTTTGGGGAAGCCTGAGAACCAGAGAGGTTATGTAAGAGTCCAAAGTGGATGCAGACAGTGTGTCGCTCCATTCTAGCACGAGAACGGAGTGTAGACCCACAGACATGACGTCCAAGGCCACCCCGAATCCTACCCAACCCCCACCTCCAGCTTCCACTCCTGTTCCCCACTCTGCTCTGCCAAATCACCAACTGGACCCCCTGCCCACTCCCACCACCCTCCTGCCTCCAGGCTCATGCTCCTTCCTACAGAAGCCCCACCTGTGTGTGTTCCACTGTCACCCAATGCCCAACTCAAATGTCGACTTCTTCAGAGCTTTCCTTGACCCAAAGGGCTGAAGCTTGCTGTTCTCAACCTCCTAATGCTCTTTATACTGCTCAGAAGACCATGGTAACTTCTTCTTTTGTGTTTATCGAAATTCACGTCTTTTTCCCCCATAACTATCCCTGTGCCCCAAAGCACCGGCATCATGGTGTGAGTGGACGTAGCTGCAGGCTGTGTGTGTACATGTACATTTATGTGCACAGACTAGCATCCAGCACACAGTAGACAGTCAGTAAATATCGGGAGGGAAGGCAGGAGAAACAACGTAACGATCCATGTGAACACTTTAGGATTTCTGCATATTCTTTGAAATAATAACCTACTGTTTTTTATTTATGCCTTTGTCTCCAACCTGGATGCCTTATGATATGCACAGCTCAACTGCCATCAAAGAATGAGGCCCCAAGAAATCTTCCAACACCAAGTGTTGAAAAGATGGGTGGACAAGAATGACTGCAAGGCTGTGGGATGCCAGGAGCGCCGTGCCAAGGCCAGCATGGGCATCCAGAAGCAGCTACACGGATGTCAGGCCCTGGTTCCATGAGTAACGTGGGCTGTGGAACCTCAGCTCCCTTTCAGACGCAGGGCTGGGAAACACAGACCATCAGGAACCCCTCCTTGTGGTTCAGAAGGGGCAACTGGGTCCAGCAAATATTTAGGGAGGCAGCAAGCAAAGTGTTCTCCTGCTTTGGCAACAATTTCTGGCCAGGAGAATAGACTGCTCTTCGGAGAGGTGATCTGGGACCACGGAAGGGGCTGATCAAGAAAACCGCAGGACGGCTTCCCAACCAGTCCCAGGAGACCGGGGAAATGGCTGAAATCACCCCAGCTGAACACATGAGGTAATTCTAATTTTTCACGACATTGTCTGCAAGGCAATAAAAGTTTTCACAAGGATGCATAAAATGAGCCATTCTCTTTGGAAATCTGCCTCAGGACTGGGGAGTTGATAATCTCTTGAGAAGACAGCATGGGATGCAGCCCGAATCCTCAGACTCCCAGGCACAAACATCCAGAGTCAAGAGACACGGTTCCTTCGATGTCCTACAGCACAAGAGACTGTCCATAACATCGAGTCTCTCATGACCACACACGGTGGCACCATCGCTGCCCCCACAGGTCCCCGTCTAGCCGGGCTTGTCTGCCCAGATGGCACCTGCTGTGTGTGCACACGGAGCCAGGCTCTCCCTTCTGTGGGAAGACCTCCTGGCAAGGCAGGGCTCATCGGGGCCTGGCAGGCGAGGTTGGACCTCAAGAGGGGCTCCGAGCTCTATTTAAGGATGGAGCCTTCATAGGTGGGCACATGCCACACCCGAGCAGCAGGCAAAGCCTTAAGGGCCGAGTCGGGGTTCAGATGAGACAGGAACAGAATGGGGACGATGGGCACGGAAAGATGGCCTAATGCTGACGGTACATTAGCAGGCTTGGAACATAACCAAGACCCCGGGATTCTCTAGAATCCTACAATAAAGCTCAGAACTACTTCCCCAGCCTCTAGTTCTCCCTTGGGAAGGGGGGTGGGGAAAGAAATCAGTTGCTCATGAGCTCCAAGAGATCATTCTAAAATGCAAGTTAAAACTTGCAAAAATGCAAGTTAGAAACTGTTAAGGGAAAACTAGGAAGGAGGGGCTTATACAAGAAGAGAAAATTATCGACAGGTCAACCAAATGCTTTGGGAGAGTCTTGTTTGGATTTTGATTCAAACAAACCAACTGTAAAAACAAACAAAAACTATAAGACAAAATTTGAACACACTGGATATCTGATGTTATAGAATGATTGTTACATGTTTTAGATATGATAATGGTACAGGATTTCTAACAAAAAGCCCTTACTTTTTAGAGATACACACTGAAATGCTTACAGATGAAATGACAGGTCCGGGATTTGCTTCCAAATAATTCAGAACGTAGAGAAGGGAGAGTTAGGAGTGAAATGCAACTGTGTTAGTAACTGCTGAAGAGACAAAACAGATACATTATACTATCATAGTCTTCTCTCTACCTCGACAGTTTAAAAATGACTTCCTGAGGCGCCTGGGTGGCTCAGTTGGTTAAGCATCCAACTCTTGGTTTCGGCTCAAGTCATAATCTCAGGGTTGTGGGATCGAGCCCTGTGTAGGGCTCCCTGCTCAGCATGGAGTCTGCTTGTCCCTTTCCCTCTGCTCCTCCCCCCTCTCCCCTCTCAAATAAATAAATAAAATCTTAAAAAAAAAAAGACTTCCCGGGCACCGTAGCCTTTCACAAGCGGGGCCCAAGCAGCCCCCATACCCAGTCTCCACCCTGTTTTCCAGCACACCATCCTCCTTCATGCACATGGCCCCCCTCCTGCCCGAGAGCACCCCGTCCTCTGGAGTATGAGACCAGGGCCAGAGCACCTGGATTCAAATTCAGGACCTGCCATTTACTAGCTGGGTGACCCTGAGCAAGTCGCTTAACCTCTCTGTGCCTTTATTTCTTCATATACAAATGCCAGATAATAAGGTACCCACCGCGCCGGCTTATGTGATCCTACTGAGCAGTTTCTGACACACGGTCAGTGCTCAGTAAGGTGGCTGCTATTAATGTTTAGCTGCTATCGTTCTCTGACTGGCAAAACGCCACTGGTTTTTCAGGGCCGAGCTTAAACACCACACCCTCGGAGACACCCTCCCGTCACCGGGGCTCAGTGCGCCCTTCCGTAGCCCCCCAGCTACAGCATGCGGCACAGAGATGTAGTTTAAGCTTTATTTCTGCAGCTCTCTGAGCTGAGTCCCTGTCTGCCTGAGCTTTCGTACCAGGTGACAAACCCCCAGGGAAGGAGCCGGTTGGACTTGACTTTGGGGCCCCGGGGCTGAACTGAAAGCCCACCTGCCATCCGGGGTCTACATTCCATGAACGCTCAATGCTTTGCCTGCTGAATAAACACAGGACTCATTTACACTAAAAGGAAAAAAATGAACATTCTAGCTCAGTGTTTTCTTCCGTCTTAGCTGTCAGCCAATTTCAATGAATTACCGTCAATAACTGGAAACATACACCTAGATTTTCATCTTCTCAGACAAAAATCCCTCGGTTGATTCAAAGTCACTAAAACACGATTCCCTTCATTATAGATTGGGGGGGATTATAAATTAGGAGCTAAAGCCATTCCTTCCCCCAAGATGCTTCACAGCTTCCATTTTATAGATCACTAAAAAGCACTGAGCCCAGGCCCCGGAGAGGGCTGCAGGGCCACCCTGCCCTGTGCAGCCATCAGGGTTAATTGCAGGAAACCTAAACAGTGTTAAGTGTACAAGCTGAGAGCATAAAGTTATTTTAAAAGAAGAAAGCATCGGTTATTACCAACCAGCCCTCGTTACCCACCTCCGATGGCTTTTTGGCGAGCAATTAACAAAGACCCCACTTCCTCTGCACTGGCCCCCTGAGGAGCTAGAGCTGTTTGGGGGCTGGCGGCCAATGCACTGAAAGATTCTTGTCTCCACCTTTCAAGACCCAGAACCTCCTTGATTTACTGCCCTCACAATTCCTTTACAGTCACAAAGTGGTGGAATTCAGCTGGAGCCCCGGCTGCCACCAGATCAAACGCTGACCAAGTCACCAGCACTGTCCTACCAGCAGGCTGCATCCTGAGTGGGCTCGATGAGCAAATTAAACCTAAGACGGAAGGACTCCATGAGCTTCTCGGGCGGAGTGAATTTTCTGGGATTATTCTTGTTTTCAAGAACTAGTGACGATAAGCCCACACCGGCCTGAACCTCTTCTCTCTCGGGTCACTGTCCCAGAGCTGTGTGTGTCCCTGCAACCCACATTCACCTGCCTTGCTTCCCAGCATTAACCCACCGCCGCATCTCCTCGAGGCTGGAACCATTTCTTTGTTTTCTGTGGCTCCATTCTTGTCCTCCCCTCCGTCTCTCCTCCCCTCGGGTCCTTTACGTGATGCCTCAGACATAAACTGTGCTTAATAAATACCACTGACGTGCATGTACCTACTCAGCTTTGGGGGCTGGATCAAGCGCGAAATTTAAATGTTCCACAGTGAAGACTGTTCCTGATGCTACATCTGGACCAGATCATTATGGCCCTTCCACCTGCCTGGTCCTCCTCCAAAGGAGACACCAGGCCTGGTGAAGGGGCCAGACTGCCGAACAGCCAAGAGCATGTGTGGGAATCACTCCCTACTTTATGGAGAAGGTATGACTGTTCTGCAAGCAGGAACACATACTCGGCCCTGTTCTCCCTCCACCTCATGTCTGATGGCTTCTGAAACCACCCAGGACAGGTCTGTATCCTATTCTTGACACAGGTAGGCACTTAGAAAAGGTGTGACGAACAAACATCCAAAAAAGTTAATTCTAAAGGACAGGTTCTCTATAGGAAGTTCGTCACATTTTAAAATAAATCTCATTCACATTCCAATTCCACACAGAAATAGCCAACTGAAAAACACAAACAGGGCCATCCAGGACCTGCTGATGAAGAGGCCCCCAAAGGTGGCCTGCTCCTCCGCCCCCAAAGGCCTCCCTTGTCCCTGCCCCAAATGCGGATGGAACCGCAAAGAAGGGACTTACCAAGAAGAGCGTTGTGCCCATTATCATCGGGCAAGAACCTTTTGTCAACGGCACACACCAGGAGATGGTCCGGCAGGCTGGGGGACTTGGCCCCCACGAGGAGAAAGCCTGCAGGGACGTCGATGGGCTCACTGGAAATGGAGACAAGACGCAGGTCCTTCCCCGCCTGGCAGAACCCTAGGAGGAATGGACAGGGCTCACATGCGCGCCAAGGGGCTTCCCCAGAACCAGGCTCTGCAAGGGCAAAGGGAGGACATTCCAGATCTTGTCAGGAACAAACCTCACCTCTGCGTGCGGCTGTCTTTAAAATTAGTTCCAAGAGATAAAATTATAACCATATTTACTCAGGACACTTGCTGCATGTTAATTTCTCTGAAGACTATCGTGTCACCATATAATATTCATGTACAAGGGAAACTCAGCAGGAAAAACGGTAGACAAGTGGTGGTCAATTAAAATGTATACAAGATAAATCCATAAGAAATTGTGAGTAACGTGGTATATCTTACACCCTGCATTTCTCACATGTATGAGGAATATGCAAATGTCACAAAGGAAGAGCCAGAGCCTGGTAATGCTGGCTGTCTCTGGGGATGGGACTGGGACCAGGACACAAGGAGAGTGATCATCAAGGAGGCTTGCACTCTATACCCTTTTGAACATTTTGTATTTTAGAGCTTTTAAATATATTTAAATATATTTCCCATTCGGATAATAAGTGCCCTAAAATATCTGGAAATAAAAGGAAAGAAACAGCTAAGATTTATTTGGAGGGGTCCTCTCCCAGGTCTTCCTGGATGAGGGCACATTCGGCCCCATCTCCTGGGTCGGTTCCATCCTTAGTTACCGACTGAGACAATGAGAGTTAACATGACCCTGACGGTCCCAAGGCTTTCCTGCCAACACTCTACAGTGTGAACAGACCCCGCCAGCATGCACCTGCTTCACCATCTACAGCACCTGTGTCCAGAGTCTCCCACCTGCCCCCAGGGGAGGGCCACGAAGGGACCCTAAGGGCGGGGAGGTGGGCAGGCCCGGAGACAGTATCCACTGTGCACCAGGCACTGGACCAGGTTAAGCTCTGCAAAAGCTCTCATTGCATCACCTCTGGGGAAGTGATTCAGCCCCCAGTTTGCAGAGATGGAAATCGAGGCTCAGAGAGGTTCCATGATTTGCTCAGAGCTGCTAAGAGGTGGGCCGGGATGGAGCCAGGTCCACCCCTCAGCTTGGGGTGGTTCCCCTTCATTGTCTTAGGGAAGCTAAGCAAAGTCCTGAGGCTGAGGTCAAGCACCCTACAGGCCTTCTACCTACATGGCCCGGGCCCTTCCTTCTGAAGAGCTGGAGGAAAACAGGCCATGGACAGTGTTTACTACACTGACTTGGAGAATTCTTTGAAAATCACTATCATGACCACTGGACAGTTCACGGTTTCCTTCTTTAATTAGGTGACCTTTTAACATGTGGACACTAGAAGTCCTACCTCATGAAGAGCCATTGTGCCAGTTTCTCTCTCCCTGGAACAGTAGCCCCGGTGAGGGCTGACTGCCTCCCCTGCCGCCATCCTGCACAAGGTCAAGTCCAGGCCCACACACAGGGCACCTGGGACCTCTACACCCCATCTGACCACTGCACCAAGCCCTGCCCAGCCACACCTCAGACCCCTACCTAAATAAGCTGTTAGCAGCTCCCCAGATGGCCTATATTCTCACCCTCCTGAGCCTCTGCACATGCTGTTTCTCTGTCTGGAATGTCCCAGTTTCCCCCAACCCTCTCCCAGACTCCTGCTAATCCTCCAAAACCCAGATAACGGGCCACCTCCTCCAGGAAGCCTTCCCTAAACTCTCCACCCACGTAAGGAACCTTTCCTGTGCTCCCAGGCACCCCTACTTGCCCAGCCCACCCTGTCGGCACTTTCCACGTCATGTGCAAAGTGTCTGCTTACCTACATAGCTCCATTAAACTGGGAGTTCTTGTACCTTTTATCTCCATATTTCCAGAGTGGGGGCCCCAATCATTAGTGAATTAACTGACTAACTAGTGACATCACTCAGCTGGTATGGGGACAGGGCAGATGAACGTACACCATTCAGAGAGTCTGTCCTGCTAGTAAGTAACAGAGCCAGGGGTTTACTCCAAGTTTCTCTGAGTGCAGAGCACGAGCTCTTATCATCAGACCAAGGTGCCCCCCCACCTGGCATTTCTGTGCCTTGGTTCCTCAACACTGCAACAGGAGTAACATACTGATTCTACAGGGTTCCTGAGAGAACACATATCTGCCTTCTTCAACAGTAAATTACGATCGCGGACAAAGATTATTCTTACTAATCAGTCTGAGTGAAACGTCAGCACAAGCAGACCCAAACTGGGAAATATATTCTAGTTTCCAAACAACCAATGTAGAAAAATGAACCATTGGACCCAAATCCATTTGTAAAGTTGAGCTATCCAAAGAGCGCCGAGGGTTGGTGAGCCTGACAGTCCCCGGGGTGGTGTAGCCAGGGGCCAGGGGCACAGGGGACCCACCGGTGCACAGCTGCAGACTCTGGGCTTCAGGGGAGCCCAGGTGCCAGCCTTACCGTCCATGGTACAGCAGCCTTCAGGTGGAGGGTGCATCTGGTAGGGATTTGGGGGACAGTTGGGCTCCAGTCCCCCTTCTCCCTCTTCCTCCTCGTCCTCATTGTCCACTCGGCTACCACCTACAAGTGGCAAAGGGGAGGGAGGAGACAGGCAGAAGCAAGGGGTCAGCAAGTCTCAGCCATTTAATAATTAACCCATCCCTACAGACACGCTGGGAGTCAGGCATCATGCCTCTCTCTGCTCAGAGGGGACAGCTGAGGTCAGAGGACTTTCCCAAGGTCACGGACTCAGGCTCCAAGCCTGGCCTCGTGACTTCAAATTCAGGTTCCTTCTCTTTCCATCCAGCAGAGCTGCCCGAGTCTGCTCACGCACGAGGCTTAAATACAGACATAACTGGTTGATAAGAATGGCACATGAAGCACTCCAAAAATCTTTCTGCGGGAGGTGCCAAAGATTAAGATATAGACCATTTTACAGAGAGGGACCCGATCACTGGCCCACAGCTCTTCGGTGACCTGCTAAGAAGCACAGCCAGGAGGCTCCCAGGTGCATGTGAGGCCCATGTCCTGCGGCTGATGTTCTGCCATTGACTATCCGGCTTCACTTAGAATACAAAATATAGTGTAAACTGCCTCTCCGTCATATAAACTCTATGTGTCTATTTATCCCCAAGGGAAGAGTGGATGCATAGACAGGACTAGAAATACAAACACACCCAAATCTGGCACATACACACAAAGTGCCATTCCAGAACAAGGCCAAGCATGTTATGACTTTAGGAAACTTTTTTTTTTTTTTTTTTTTTTTAAGTGCAGTCGCATTTTAGGAGTCCTGGCAAACATGGAACTGGCCAGAAGAGCCAGGGATTGGCCGTGGAAATCTCACTGCTCCCTACTCCATCGCGGCGGTAAAAGAGCTTCTTGTCGTTCCCCGCAACTCTCGGCTCCCAGGGAGTGGGGTCCCTGCCCTCGCTCATCTCTGTGACCCAGGCACCCCTCAAAATGCTCGTGCAGAGACAGTGCCCGGGAGACCCATGCCCAGCTGATATGGGCATACACCCTCGGGCCCTGTTTACCCAGCACTGCTCGACAAGGGGGTTCATCTAAATGAATTTCCCAGGCTATGGAAGTATCATCCTAACTCCTTTTAATAGACATTTTTGGCCAAAATCCTTCTCAACTTGTCCAGGTTTAAATGTCATTTAGTAACTAGCATGCAACCTTCTTCATGGAATAGGGTCATTACAAGCATCCTTAAATGGGCTGGGCTGGAAGACAGTTTTTCTTCTTTTTTGTTTCTCTGCCTCCTGTTTTAGTGCTCGTTTCTGTGTTCCCATTTCTCCTACCTCCTCTTCCTCGGCTCTCGCACCCTCCGTCCATCCAGTGGGTTAAGTGGTTCTAGGTTAGTGATGGAATCGTGTGCGGTGGAAAGAGAGGGGCTGGGAATCAGGGAACTCAAGCTTCAGTTCTCAAGCCTGCCATTGTCTGTGTGGCCACAGGAAAGTTACTTAACCTCTCTGTGCATCAGATCCCACATCTTTAAAATGAGGTGGTTATATAGGGCCACTCTGAGCTGCTATAGTCTATGTGGGGGAATACGGCCCTCAGCGTTGCACAGTCTTCCTGATGTGATTTAATCAGTACAGTGGCCACCATTTTAAAGGTGCCCATGAGACAAGAGGCAGAAGAAACTGAACATTCTAAGCCAGCTCATGCCCATGACCTTGGGTAGGTCAGAGCGGGAAGTGAAGAACCCTGGTGTCTCGTCTTTCTGAGCCTAGAGTGCACCAAGGTGGCAGGAAGACCATAAAAAGATTACCCAGGAAGCACACAAGGAGGTGGTGGGGCTAAACTCCGGAGCTTCCTTCAGATGCTTCCTTCCTGCCATTAAATGCAGGCGTAGAGTGGCTTTAGCCTAAGTGACAGAGTCCCGCCCAGACCCCAGGCGCCAGCTACGCAGCACAGGGCCCCATGGGGGCTGGGACTATCCTGCGGCCACCTACGGAGTGGGCGGCACAGAGTGCTCGGCTGCACCACCCACTCTCCTCCCGGAGCCGAGACTCCAGAGGCTGGGAGGGAAGGGCAAAGACCCCAACAGTCTGAGTAAGAAGAAGCAAGAACTCAGAGACCCTGGAGCTCTGAGGGCACACAGGAATGCCTGTCTGCAGTTATTCTGCTAAAGCCAAATGGAAGAGGAATTCAGAGTCTCTGAAAGAATGAAAGAGGAGGTCCTTCAGCCTCAGAAAGTCAAAGAAAGAGCTCAGAATCCAGTGGATGAGAAAGCAGACCTCAAAGATCAAAGGTCTACACCAGACATCCCAGGGCCTTTGATGGGATCAGTCAGGCAGTGGCGAGGGTGAGGAGACTTATTACAGCCAGGAGCAGACCAGACCAGACTGCTGGCCAAGGTCGGGGGGGCGGGGGGGGGGGGGGCGCATTACCACGGCGTCAGACAAGACCAACCGGATTTGAAGCTGAGAACCTTAACACGAAAACACAGACGCCCAGAGATGCTGTCCCACTTCTTCACTCTGCAGAGCTAAATTTTCTTTCCTTTCCACAAGAAGAAACCACATGACATTTTGAGGAGGGTGAGGCTGCAAGAATTAACCGCATCTTGTTTAATTAATTAATACTTATCTCAAAACGCTGGAGTGGGGTTTGTTTTGTTTGGTCTTTCTCTAAAAACTAAAAAAAAAAAGTAAATAGCCCATAAAAGCCTTTTCCCCTGGAAGGAGGTGTGGTAAGACCTCTAATCCAGGGAAAAAAGTCATAAGGCCCCTGCTCGGGAACACGGAAGATGTTAACAGACCCAGGGGTGTTTAGGATACCAGCAGCCTGGCCATAAAAACCATCTTTAATGTAATTGTCTGAGGAAGGACAGCAGTAAGAGACCCTGGCAGACAGACAGACAAAACAAGGTGTGGCCAGGACAAGCCATCGGCGCCAAGTTTTATAACACAGAATCCAGGGGGAGAGCTGTGTGTTCAGTTCACGGTGACATCCAGCAAACTAAAAAAGACAGTGTTCCCCTTCCCACCAGACCCCTCCTTTGTCCTTCCTGCCCCTCGGGATTTCTCTATTCTGTTTGCGGACGCACAGGAAAAGCTGGAGGGTCTGCTCTGGTTTTCATACAGGGGGGCTGCACCAATAGCTGGCGGGGCGCCTGCAGCACTCAACACGGGAGGCATGAGAAGGGGATGCCTCAAAGCTGTCCCCGGAAAGTGCCACCTGCCCAATGCCCTATTGGCAGGGGAAGGCATCCTAACAAGACAGGATGTTCGAGATGCAGCCTCCCAGGTAGTCCGCAGAGATCTTAGGCAGAAGGAAAAGCTGGCAGGGAACCTCCCAGGGCTTTCTCCACTCCCCCTCTCTCCCCACAGGTGAGCCCCCTTTCTATCACAGAGCTGCCAAAGCTAAGGGTGCAACTCCCTGACTCGGGCACTCCTTCGACACTGCAATCTGCAAGCAAACCCATCTCCCAGCGTCCCAAATCATGGGGTGTAATCACTTTAGTAGGTGCAGGTGGAAAGAACTTTGTAGATTTTAAAGTGCCATTCACATGAACTAAGTCATCATTGTCACCATCATTAATTTATCATTAGCAACAAAGACTTTCAGTACTGAAAGTAGCTAAGGCTGACTGTTTAATGCATACATTTTACATAAGTCTGTCAGCTAGCCAAAAACACAGGCTGTATGTCCCACTCATTTCTCATCTCCTCCCTGTGTTGCAGTGACGCTTCCCCTGCTGGAAAACGTGCTTTCGCTATGTAGAGAGAATTCTTGGTTTTCCTAATTCATGCTTTTGAGCATGGTCCAGTTTCTCCCAGACCCTCATCCAGCTCTTTTAGGTCTTTATTGTGGCTGTTTGTAAAGTTAACATTGTAAGGACGTTTCAAAGATGGACACAAGGAACTGTGTGTCCCTGCTAGAATAAGGAACTATCAGATTCCACACAAGCAGCTCTGTGCCTCATTTTCCCTTATGTGCAACCCTCCCAGCCAGCCATCCCCACACCCTGCCAACACACACACACACACACACACACACACAGACCCACACACATGCTGACTACCCCAATACAGGATCTGCCATACTGCATGCATGCCTTAATTGATTTATTTCTGTTTCAAACAACGGGACTTTTTGCCTTCAATATCGAAGTGAAGTCTGCAGGGAACTTCCAGTGGAAGGTATAAACTGACCAAAAGTTCCATGGACTGCTGTGGGGTTACTTCTGACATAAAAAACACATGGCTATTAAAGAGACACACTAAAGATTGAAAACACAACCATTTTACTCTCTGGATAGCTAAGTAAATCCTAAAGTTGTCCTCATGCCTGAATATAATTGATTCATTCATTCCTGGCACACGTTCAATTCATAAGGGTTTGTTCTTGGTTTTTTTCAAAGTTTCTAGAGGGCTCTTATATCTGCGACCACAAAGAGAAACCACCTAGAGACTATTTTGCAAAGATATGGCCATGAATCCTGGGACAGAGAGAAAAAAATATCACCAAGGGCCAAAGCATGTTAAAATTTCTGACTTACCCAAGTGAGAAAGTCAAACCTTCTAATGAGCATAAGTAACAACCAGTTCACGACAATCCAATGCAGCCCTCTTCCTTCCCCGTTATCCAATGAATAACTGCATTCCTTGTAACTTTATGGCCGAAACTTAGTCTTAGCCAAGGAAAAAGGTAGGTGCACCTTTCTTTTTCTAATAATTCTTTTCTCCTAGACTCTTCCACACAGAAGGGAGAGGAGCGAGTTCCCTGTTCTGTTACAACAGGAGTTGCACCAGACGTAGGACCTACCCCAGCGTATCTCCTACCTTCCAGGGCGGAGAGCTGCGGCTCTGTTTCCAGATAGAGCTGGGAGAAGACCGGCCGGGGCACCAGGCTGCTGGACCGCAGGGATGCCTCGATGGAGTTGTGCAGGACCTCTTCAAAGCGCGTCGTCTTCAGCTGTCCAGCATAAGAGTTTCCCATCTTCAGAAAGGACGACAGAGGATGCTATTTAAAATGACATCTCAGCGTCAGTTGAAAAGACTGACGCTGTGCCCGAAGCCCAAAGGCAGATGTGAACCAGTCACAAGGAGGGAAGGGCCAGGGAAGGGCCGTGGATCGCCCCGCTCGGCTGAGAGGACAGGGCGGCTCTCAGCACCAGCTAGTGCTGGGCAATGACAGGAAGTTACCGAAGTAACAGCTTTCTCTAATTCAGCACTCAGATAGCCGAGGCTGACACCTCTTCGCATATTGCGCTGGAAACCAGCTCTTTCGTCATCCCTGGTTCCACAGACCGCGCCCCCCCACCCCGCCCCGCCTTTTCCCTGAGATGGGATCCCGCCCCAAGAGAGCTCAGACAAATGATGGTTTATTCTCCTTGACTTTACAGAAGAGTAGCCCCGCGCCACTTTATGTCTGGGACGGCGGCTCACAATTCCACCATCTCCAGATTGTAGGATTTCAAGACCTCCCCGCACCTTCTCAGAAGGTAGGCTAGCAGATTTCCCATCACTGTCTTTTCTGCTAAAAGGCCAAAAGCTAACATTCTTCCTTTAAAGTGTTTTTGTAGCTTATTACCATTTCCTTTATACAAGTAATGTAGAATTACACCTGGAAAACGTGGCAATCTAGAAATTACAGAAGAGGGTGGACAAACAAGAGGAAAAATCACTGATAGTCCCATCCCCCAAGATAACCACTGTGATTTTTTTTTTTTTTTGGTAGCAGTTTCAGATACAGTTCACATGCCATACCATTCACCCACTTAAAGTGCACAACTCAATGGTTTTTAGTATATTCAATGCCATGCAACCATCACACGTTCAATTTTAGAACATTTTCATCACCCCAAAAAGAAACCTCATACCCTTAAGCTGTCACTCCTTAATCCCCCAACCACCCCCCCCCTGCCCCAGCCCCTGGCAACCACTAATTTACTTTCTGCCTTCGTAGATTTGCCGCCTCTCGAAATTTCCTATTAATGGAGTCCTATGATCTATGGTCTTTTGGTGACTGGCTTCTTCCAGATAAGCACAATGTTTTCAAGGTCCTTTTGTGTTGTCATGAGCATCAACACCTCATTCGCACCATGCTAGGATGATGTATTCTTTCCAGACTTAATTTTCTTCACAACTTGGGGACAGGAGGGAGGTGGGAGATTATATTCACGTAGTTATAATCATTCTATAAATGAAATTTTTGATTCTGCACTTTTCACTGGACATGAACATTTCACTCAAATCCTCTTACAAATGCTTTTAAAATAACTGTCATGACCGCATCCTATTCCATTGAGTGAAGGTGCAGATCCTTGCTCAGACATTTCTTTCTGATGATACATGGTAAACCTCTATGTTTAGCACTTTCCAAGGAGCAGCACTTAAATTTATATTCCTAGTGTTTTCCATTTATTTTCTATTTCATTAAAGTTAGCTTTCTGTTTCCTCTTGGCTTAATCTGTTGTACTTTTTCCAAACTTCTTAAAATCATCTTTATTTTCCACCTCCTTTAATAATGAAGCTATTTCAGGCTACATACTTTCCTCTGGATGTCTCTTTCGCTATGGCACATAGGTTTGGTATAAAGTGTTCTCCTTTTCATTTCTTTTGAGACAGAAATCCCCCTTTTGATTCTCTCCTTAATAGGGTTAATTATCCAGGAATGCATTTTTAATTTCAAAATAGTCAAGATTGAAGGGCAGGAAGTTGGCCTTCTTTTTTTTTTTTTTTAAAGTAGGCTCCACACCCAACATGGAGCCCAAAGCAGGGCTCAAACTCATGACCCTGAGATCAAGACCTGAGCTGAAATCAAGAGTGAGACACTTAACCAACTGAGCCCATCCAGATGCCCTTAGTCTTACTTATTTCTAGTTTTTATTGGGTTATAATCATGACTGTGGCCTTTAGAAACTCAACTTTTAAAATGTGAGGGTTTCTTTTTGATGGATACCAGATGGATTTTCACAAAGAGCCTACCGATGTTAGAAAAGAGACGTATAAACTCTCTTCAAGGGAGGAAAGGAGATAGATCCTTCAGTACTTCCATATCCTTATATATTTCTCATCTACCACACTGCTGATTTTCAAAGTAGCATTTGACTAAAGAATCCCAGCAGATGCCAGTGCTAACGTGACCACAGAGCGGTAAGTAGCTGGTGCTACATTACAGTGATGCCCGCGGTCACACCAGCTGTGAGCCCAGCTTCACAAGCCAGCCACCACCTCACAGGGCACTCTGACTTAAGACGCAAGACGCACTTAGGAAAGCCTCCCTTGTTTGGGCGCAGAGCCATTTCAAGATGGGCGTGCCCTGAGAGAGCTCTGGTTTCCCTCTTGACCGTAAAATGGGCCAAGTAGTCACGTTGTTTCTCTGTCTCTATTGTAAGGAAGTCTCAGCCTTTCCTCTTCCAAATACAAGTAAATGAAAACCATTAAACACTTGCTGCTGGGAGCAATAATCCCTGACCACAGGGCCCCTTGGCCAGCCCCTGCTTCCAGCCTGGGGAAATGAGCCTCCAGAATTAGCCTCGCACAGAGAAGGTGCTGGAGAAAGAGGTCAGCTGCCAGATAGCCCGAGCCCCCCCAAACAGCCCGGGTCAGAAGGGGCTCCAGGGTCCTCGTGTCTGCCTTTTTCCTTGACCTGATGCAAGGAAGCCTTGACCCCTCAATACACAAATGAGGGGTTACTAGCCACATTTGGAGACCCTTGCATTACTTCAGGTTCAGGGTAGTCTATAAAGTTGCTGCAAATTAGAAACATCACAAATGTCTATTTCTATAGATGTCTGTCTAAAGAGCTTAAGGCACACAGAAAGGAGCTTTAAGTCCATCCCATTTTACATGGTGTCTCTACAGAATCATGCTCAATGATCAAAAGAAATGATGGAGGCATCCATACCCTACCTTCCCAAGGTCCTGTCCCGCTCACCTGACGGCTGATTGGCACCCTGAGCCCAGAGGGTTCCACCAGTTAGAGTAGACAGTGCCTAATGTGGACGGAACAATGAAGAGGAAGAAAGAACTCGAACATTCACTGTCCAGCTACTGTGTGCAAGGCTCCGTGCATGCTCCCTTGCCTAACTCGTTTGGTGGTCAGGTGAGCGATATTATGAAGCCCATTCTAAAGACGACAAATTCAAATCTTGGAGATGGTAAGTAACCTGAAGGAACTCCTGTTCAAAGAAAAGAAATAGAATTGGGGTGGGGTGCAGGGGAGAGGAGCAGGGAGGGAAGGGGGGGAAGGGTAACGGAAGGCGGGAAGGAGCCTGGGGCAGGGAGAGGAGAAATGCAAAAGGAACCAAGGCACAGAAGAGTCTTCGCACTCAAAAAATGGAAAATTGTGCAACCCTAAGCAAACATTGAAGCTTTAATATCTATAAGCAAATACAAAGAAAAGGTACCCCCCACACATTACCTAATGATGCATCTGAAATAGTAACAAGGAAACACGGGTAAATAAGGAGGGAGAAGGAGCACTGAGAATCCTATGCAAATTCTGTGGCCCTTCTGTTAGTAGGGGGGGGCGGTGGCGGCAAAACTGACCTATGTGGCAACTTCCTACCTGCAGAGCTCTAGCCTACAGACAAAACCACCTGTCAGGTGAGAGGCTTTGGAGGGGGAGGGCAGAGCAGACTGAGGTGGAGGCACAGTTGGAGCTCTTGGATGTGTGAGAATCCCACCCTCACCCTCGTCAGAAGGGGAACAGGAGAGCCTAGCTCAGGGTCAAATCCAGAAGCTTCATTATCTTCCCCAAGGCCTCGTGGAAGGAAGAGAACACCTGTGAAGGCCTGGGGCTGCAGTCTCCCCCTGCTCAGCTCTGACTGCGCCCTCCCCGTGCAGGTCTCTGCCAGCTTCCTGCTACAGCTGTTCAGGCCCATGAGCTGCAGGGATTTCTTCCACACCCTGACCCATCATCCCCCACTGCCTGTCTTCCAAGGCTAGTCCACTTCCTCCCGACGCTGGTGCACGATTATCTTCAACCCCAGAACCTGAACCACAACCTTCGCCGTAACGCACGGCTGCAGGAGACTGGAAAGAGCATGTGTGACCCCGAGCAAAGTGTCTGACTCACTGGACCTCCGTGTTCTCATCTGTAAAATGGGCACTCCGAAGGGCTGATACGGAGAGTAAAAGAGACAGAGTATGTGGAAAGTGCCCAGCATAGCACCTGGCAGGGCATGATCATTAATTTCTGGCGAAATCTGAATATTCACCTGAGAATTTCAGATCATAAATGACAAGCGACACAAAGTGCTACAATGTAGGGGGCGCTGGGGATAGCCAGGGAGAACTTGGGCCAAGGGGCCGGTACTCAAAGTGGGCCAGAAAGGAAAAGGAGGGTATTTTGGTAGGATAGGTTTTGGAAGAATATTTAAGAAAGGGACAGGAGAGTACAAAGGAATGAAAGCCCCATAAGGACAAACATACAGACATGCCCTAGAAAAAGGAGAAGTTTGTCTTTAGGAGTAGTAAATGGCTTATAAGATGGCACTGTGCTAGAGTAAAATCAAAACTGAGGGTGAACTACACTGTTGGTGGGAATGCAAGCTGGTGCAGCCACTCCGGAGAACAGTATGGAGGTTCCTCAAAAAGTTGAAAATAGAGCTACCATATGATCCAGCAACTGCACTACTGGGTATTTACCCCAAAGATACAAAAGTAGGGATCTGAAGGGGTACGTGCACCCCGATGTTTATAGCAGCAATGTCCACAATAGCCAAACTGTGGAAAGAGCCAAGATGTCCATCAACAGATGAATGGATAAAGAAGAAGTGGTATATATATATACAATGGAATATTATGCAGCCATCAAAAGGAATGAGATCTTGCCATTTGCAACGACGTGGATGGAACTGGAGGGTGTTATGCTGAGCGAAATAAGTCAATCAGAGAAAGACATGTATCATATGACCTCACTGATATGAGGAATTCTTAATCTCAGGAAACAAACTGAGGGTTGCTGGAGTGGTGGGTGGTGGGAGGGATGGGGCGGCTGGGTGATAGACATTGGGGAGAGTATGTGCTA